GGATGCGGGCCCGGCCGGTGGCTGATCTGGCATTGGCGAAGGCTGCTCGCTGAGGGCGGCGTGCCGCGAGGATTGATGCACTCGCCCCAGAGGAGGCACGGCGGGGCGGGGCCCCAGGCGGCCGGGCGGCCCATGGACAAGGGCAGCCAGAGCACGCTGTGAGGCCCCTCGGGCGATCGCGCAAAGGGGGGGCGATGCCGGCATTGGGGGCGGATTTGGTGTCAAGCGGGGGGCGGGGAGTGTGTGTGTGTGCTGGGGGGTGCCTGGTTGCGGTACAGGCCATTGTGGCCCCTGGGGTGGGGCGGTGCGGGGAGGGGTGGACGGGGGATCTAATGTGGCTCCGGCGGTGCGGTGCGCAGGTACGTGGGCAACCTGCACCCCTTCGTGACGGAGAACATGCTGCAGGAGATCTTCACCTACGCCGGCGTCGTGGAGCAAGTGAAGATTGTCAGGGCAAGTGCGCGCGCGGCGGGCTCGCCAGGTTCTCCGGACCCGGCCTGGCGCCCGGGCGGCGTGGGCGCTCGTCGGTGCTCGCGGGGCTGATGCGACGCTCGCGTGGTGGCCCGCGCAGGACAAGACGACGGGGGCGAGCGCTGGCTACGGCTTCGTGAAGTACTACGAGCCGCGTAGCGCGCAGGTGGCGCTGCAGACGCTCACCAGCAAGGTGATCTACGACCGGGAGGTGCGCCTGAACTGGGCCTTCCAGAGCAGCCAGCGCGAGGACACCAGCAAGCACTTCCATATGTTCGTGGGCGACCTGAGCCAAGACGTTACCGACGCGGCTCTGTTCGCCGCGTTCAGCGGCGTCGGCACCAACAGCTGCTCGTAAGTCGTCGCCGGGCCCCCGCGGGCGCCCGCCCTCGATCCCGGCCCCGCCTTGGCGCGGGGAGGATGGCCGCGGGCCCGGCGCGGCCGGTCGCGGCATCGGATTGCGACGGAGCCGTCCCCGGATGGCGATTGATTGATGGGAAAATTTCGGTGCCAGGTGCTCGCCGGGGCGCCCAGCACTCGAGGCTGCTCCTCGATCGGTAGTGCGGGTCGTGGGGAGCGCTGGGGGCGCATTGCTCTGGGGTTCGATCCTTACCGCCATCAGCAGCATTGCGGTCGCCGCCGCAGTGGCAACTGTGCGGGCGTTGGAAAGGGGCGCGTGCGCTGATGCGCTGTGGCGGGCGGGGGAGGGCCGTGCGGGGAGATCTGGGCGGTCCGACGCCCCAGGGGGGCCTCCGTTGAGGCGGCTGTGCGCTTGCAGGGACGCGAGGGTGATGTGGGACCACAGCACGGGCCGCTCCAAGGGCTACGGCTTCGTGTCCTTCAGGAGCAGGGAGGACGCCGAGCGCGCGATCCAGGAGATGCACGGCCAGCTGATTGGCTCGCGGCGCGTGCGTTGCGGCTGGGCGCAGCACAAACAGGTGCGGAAACGCAGTCCAAGAGGCCCGGGGCCCTTGGGGAGGTGTCCTTTTGGAGAATGACCATGATGAGGCCATGATGGCGATTCTGGCGGCCTCGAGCATGGATCTGGCTGCGGGACAGCGCTGTGCGCCCGCGACTGATTCTGAACGGCGGGCCTGTTCGGGGGCGCTCGTGAGCTGCGGTCGTCGCTTCGCGAGCTGTGGAGGGGCGCCTCACAGTACGTTTCCTATTTTTGTTTGCAGCAAGACACATCCCAACCCTTGGACTACGACACTTTGGACAAGTGAGTGGCGGTTGGTTGGCTGCGGCCGGCGTGCCCCTGCGTGGTCCCACTGGCCTGTCGTTGAAAAGCAGTGGCTGAGTGCAGGCCTGTTTGCTAGCCTTTGTGTGCTTATCGCCACATGACTGCATTTGTCTCCCAGGACAAGCGTGCTGATTCTGCATGTATCAGACAATGCTGGCGTTACTGGCATAAGCGGTTTGCTTGCAGCTTTGCCTGCTGATGGCAGACGCAAGAGACTTGCCCGGTGTTTGGGAGGCATGTTTCCTCTCAACTCTACTGATGTTCTTCTCTCCAGGGCGGACCCAACCAACACCAACGTTTATATTGGCAACATACCTGCTGAAATGACGGACACGGATATTCGCCGCCACTTTCAGCAATTTGGCCCCGTCGTAGATGTCAAGCTTCACAAGAAGGGTGGTTATGGGTTTGTCAGATTTCAGGTGGGAAGGTTGGCGTTATGATACAGCTGGACATGATCCCTGTGCTTGGTGTGGCCCCAGCAATGTTGTGCTGTTCGAGCCAATGCATATTGTGGGCTGGGGGAGGGTGTGGGGCCAGATTGTATTGATGCTGTACCTTCTTAGGAGGGTCGAATGGCTGTATCGACTCAGGGCTGTGTGCACCCAGCTACCTGACATACCGCACATTCTCCACCTTTAGTATGAGCCCCCTGAGTGCATGTGTTTTCTTGCCCCTGACTTGCTTGTGCTGTGTGCTCATCTTTACATCGAAGGCTCCATATCATCTTTTCACAGTGTGGCAAAGAGCCTCACATACACTTGCCTAGGAGGAGGTGCCCTTTTGTATGACCTGTCTCTCTCTCTTTTGTAAAAAATCTTACCCAGCCACCTGGTCCTATCTCTTGAAGAGTTTGTTTCCTTTAGTTAACAAGGCCATTTTGCTAGCAACCAGGACTATGCAATATAGTTTGTGCTGCTACAGCCACCTGTCCAGGTGGCTAGCACATGCTGCCACTGTGCTGAGGAAGTGAAAGTCCCTTGCTGATTGATTTGGACTTGCAGGGGAACCTTTGAGAGAAGAACCATGTTCTGATTCTTTGGTGCTGAAATGTTTGTGCTTTTTGTGCTGCACCTTGTTTGTGATCATCCGATGTGCTGCAAATGGTGCCAGCAACTGTTGAAGAACTAGGGCTTATGGGCAGTGGTGCTTATTGTAGATCTGTTGTTGTTGTGCAGAAACATTCAGATGCCGTGAATGCTATCCTCCAAACAAGGGGCAAGACTGTCCAGGGCAAGGTGTGCACATATTGCCTGGTTTGCTGCGAAATCCGGTATTGTTGTTTGCCAAAGACACGCTGTGCCAGGGGGAAGTTGTGTGGTGATATGCGGCAAGTGGGACAACACAACGATGCATGCAGGACAATTTTCTTCAACAGAGAAATAGATCATGCAGTAGTCGTGTTGTACAGCCCTCAGACCTTGTGCAGAAGGTATTGTCCTCTGTGCAGCTGATTCCGACCTCTTGGAATACTGCAGAAAAGCACCAAGCAGCAGGAAACTGAAAATAACTGAAGAGAGGTTGTCAGGGGTGTCACATACACAGAATTTGAAGCCTAAAAAGACTGTGCGTCAATGTGAACTTTTTTTTGCAGTGATGGATAGGGTGCTTGCAGCCGATTGCAAAGAATTTGGAAGATCTGGATCCAAGCTGAAACCAAGCTTGGTTGGGTGTTCTTGGGTCTGATTTTGAGCACAATCCAAACCGCTGCATAGTCTGTGCATGGATTCAATTCGAAGTGGTAATGCAGGTATGGAACAGTGCACACAATGCCAGGTTGCAGATAGGTGTCCTAGTTTCAGACGTACCTCCATGTCTAGTGGGGGGAACAGGTCAATGTCCATCGTTGCCACTGCGCTCTTGACATGATTTCCCTTTCAAATGGCAGAGCCATGGATTCCCTGACAATCACTGAAAGACAACATAGGCACAGGTCCCATGAGGCACATATGCCTGGCAACGAGGTTAGTCATGTCCTAATTGAGGGATAACTGAGTCTGCCTGGTGGAGGCCTCAATCCAGCTCATGTGGCCATCCGACCCCAATTTCTTTCTGACTATCTTGGTTTTCCCTTTGACCTGGGTAAGGTCAGACCATTAGCGCTTGTCAAATGTAATGTGCCAATGCAGACCAGAACTTAGCTCATCCACTTGAGACACATTGTGTGTGGCTATCAGTAGTACACTCAATGAAGTCATGCAGTGCTTATGGCTTCACAAAAGAAGAAAGTAACAGCAGAAGAAGTTGAAGACAACTGCTGCTCCCTCAGTCCATTCCGATTGGTGCATATGTCCCATAAGCATGCAAAAGGCTATCTACTGGCAGGTGGCAACTGTTGCTGCCCTTATCCAAACTTTGCCAACTTCTCTGAACTCCTATGCCCATACTGCAGGATGCGTGCTGGAAGGTCATGAAGTGCCACTGGGGCAAGCACCCAGACAGCCACGCGGATGCAACCTCCACCCGCATCATGCTGCCTGGGCTGAACCCGATGAGCGGGGTGCTCGGCAGTGGCGATGCGGTAATCCAAGGACTGCTGCCCACGGCCCAATACATGCTGCCGACGCCAATGACATCGCAGCAGATCATGATGGCCAATCAATTCATGGGCCAGGGACCTATGTCACCTGGAGGGATGTCTGGCATGGGGGTCAGGACCAGGGTACCCAATCGGGTGGGCGGGGTTTCGGCTCCCCTGGGGGGCCAGCCTGGCGGATACTACCCAGGCATGTATTATTCATCATAACTCCAGTGCCAAGGATGCCTGTGGCTGGGGTGTGGTCTTCGGTGGGAGTTCGATGGGACTTGGGAAGATGGCCCGTCTGCCTATGGTTGCTGGTTTCTAACCCCACACGGAAATTGGGCACAAGACTTTTTTTGTTTTGGGTCTTGCGTTGGCAGGGATGGAATGAGCAACAAATTTTGGCCAGCGGTATTGGGCGTGTCTGGTGGTTGGAGAGGCCACACACGGAAAACTGGAAAACCGAAAAACAAACAGATGCTGTTGGGGTGTGCAACTGTTTCTTCATTCGTTAGATTGGTGGGAGCACACATATTTCCATGTGTTCATTGCACACTTCCGCTGGCAGCATCATGCACAACACATGGGGAATAGGATGGCTCCTTTTGTGGGCAGTTGCAGACAGATTGCTATCTTTGCACTTATGCTCTCTTCTCAAGATTGAGTGCTTAGGGATTGAGCACATTGCTGGGTCTAGAAAGAACGATTCGGAATAGTGTGCTTGTTGGATTTGGTTGTTCGAGCAATTCTCCTGGCAGCAGAGACAGGGCTTCAGCGGGTGGTGGCGGCCATTGCCGCATCCAATCCCCCTGCTGGTGCCTTTCTTTGCGCTGCACATGTTGTGGGCACGATTTGTTTGTGGCAGTTTCTTAGATTGCTGGACTTGCCCTTTTGCACTGGCATCAGTCTGTTCTGTATGTAACCCAGGCTGCCAACAGCAGGTGGTGTCTGGAAGCAGTGCAAGGACATTTTGCTATGACTTTGATAGGGACTCGAGCTGCTATGTTGATGGCAGAGTAGGGCAGGTCCCCATTACTCTTATGGTCTGGGGTGCACAGCATCTCCAGCCCCGGATCTTTGTTTTCGTCTTGATCAGGGAACAGGTTGGGGCTAAGCAGGAAGGGAGATGACACCGACAGATTCCTTGATGCACGGTTGTGTGGCACTTGCATTTTATGCTGGATTGATGGAAGTCTGTTGCCCTAATGTACTTTGGCATGGGAGAGTGCAGCACCTGTGTGTGCTTTGCTAATGAGTGTTCATGATGATTGTGGGAGTGCTGGGAGTGTGCACTTTAGGTGTGTCACTTGAAAGTCTTACTGGTCTTTTTCGGACAGAAATTGAGGCTCTCAAAGACTTTCATGAGGGGATGGCAGTCTTAAAAATGCGTGGCATGGGGCATGGGTGGGTGCAGGGTGCAGGGTGGGGTGGGGGTCATGCATGACACACAAGCAATTGATGATTGCGCCACCGACGCAGATTGAGGCGATCGTGTGTGCGCAACGGCCATGCTGGGAATACGGGCTGGGCATAATGATAACCAAAGTTCCTAATCTCTCTGGGCTTGAGTCTACTGATGGGGATTGGTTTGGGAGGGCGCAGCGGTGGAAACTGACGGGACCTGGCGAGGCCAGAACTGTCAGAAAATTGCAGCACTCTAGAAATAAGCTGATCGACCGCCAGGGAGATTGCTCGAGTTGAGGGGCGTGAGCCTCTCCCATTCTTGTTGTGGGACTTTGCTCAAGTTTTGTGGCGCTAGCACAATCGGCCCGTATTCTGTGAATCTGACCAATCAATGCACTGGCAGGGCTTCTTAAAGATGCTGGAGATCAGGCGATGGACCACAACAGTGGATGGGTAGCAGGCTCCACAGTTTTATGGGTGGGGCGTAGGTGATAATCATTCTTTTAAGGACCGCTGTGCAATGTCTTGGAATGGTCTTCACCAGAGGGTGGACCCGAATTCTGCTGATAGTTGATTCAATTGGCAAACCAGAGAAATGCAGTTTTTCCTCCATCGTTGCAAACACGTTGATTGCCAAGCTGATAAAAAAAATCATGCTGATGCTAAGATTTCCGTTCATGCGCCCAGCCAACTCCAGCATTGGCATATGATCGACACTGAGGACCGATTGGGCAACAAAACACCACGGACTGGAGTGAAATTTTGATATGGGTGGCTGCAAATAGTAGCTGCGGAATGGAAGGTACGTGAGAGCACAAAGTATTGGTACGTTGATGCCAAAAATAACTTACGCTGGCCCAGGAGGAGTGGGGCAAAAGGCGTTGGCATTCGCAAGGATAGAAATAAATAACACCACTTCAGGAGTATCACTTTCGTGCGTGTTTGCCAAAAGGGCGACCCTTTTCCGTTTTGGCCATTGCTTAGCACGACTTGGAGAGACAGACCGCCTCGCAAACCCCTGCCAGGGGGGCAAGAGTCAGTGACTGTTGCCGAATTTTCTCTGTGAAGCCGGCACCTGTGGAATGAAGAATCTGGGATGAAGCTGCAGAAATCAGCGGTCGTCTCCCTGCTGTCGCGCAGGAAGAGGTTTTGGCTGTCCACCCCACATTTACCACTGCACAACATCACATTCTGGGCAGCAATGTCCACGCTGACCAACAACCTTGTGGGGCATCCACTGGTGTCCGGGCAGGGAGGGCACTATGTCGAATTTGTTTCGCTTAGCGTCAATTTGACCCCGGGGGTGGGAGCAGCATACAATTACTTGCTGCACCAAATCCCTCCAAGACTAACCCAGCCTACCCCCTACCCCCTCAAACCTAAACCTAGGCATACCCCAAACCTAACCCTAAAAAACACCTTAAAGACCTAAAACTAAACCTAACCTTAAAACTGAGGTGAGGACCTAGTGTGCACGTGTCTTAGTGCAAGCAGTCACCGATTTGGTGCAGGCAGTAATATTATTTCAGGGGCAGTCCAGACCTGTGACGCTACGAGATTATATAATTGCCGCAAACTCGACATAAGCTGTGAGCATGCCCCAAACGCCGCTGATCAGTGACAACCCACTTGTGACTTGCTTGAAAACCTCTCTCAAACGTTCACCCTCAAAGGAACGCCCCATGTTATCCCAACAGACCGACTTAGGAGCTGCCACCATCTCTTGCCACGACTTTTTGGGTCGCATTTTTAGCCCAGTGCAATCGCTGCAAATCTGGGAAATGTCTTCCTCAGAAAACAACTTAGAAATTGTTACACGATGTTTGGTAATGTGGATGGGTCATCTTGGCATCGGCGTAAGGATTGACGCTGAGGAGGGGAGGGGGGGAGGGGTGGGGGGTGGGTGGGGGGGGTCAGGGGTTTCTAACCTTAGCCTTCATTTGACTTTAAACGAAAAGAATTCAAAACTGTGCCTTCCCTCATGTAATTCCTCAGCGTTAGAAATCCGGACATCTATCCCCTTGACCCGCAGCAGATTCCAATATTACGCAAAGTGTGACATAGTCGCCCTGCCACGATGACTTGAGGCATCGAAATTAATTTTCTGAACCTGGTCTTGCACATAGCTGGGCAACTATGTCAAGGCAACCACAAACTTCGACAATTATTCGACTGACATCCCATCTCGACGCATCAGTATCATAAAATACTAACTCGTGTTAAAGCAGCCTCCTTGTGCAGCTGCCCATTAAGGCTGATGAGCTGCTGCTGCTGCTGCCTCACTAGTGTGAGGACCTAAGCCTTCCATTTCCTCGCACAGGTGCTGCCGAAGCGAGGCACCTCAATTCAGTGTTCGTCAACAAACAAGGCTGACCATTGAAGCCAAAATGTCTCCACCAACCAGCCCAGCCTGCTGCAGCCGAGATTCCACGTCGATCATTGTGCATCACAGCCAAAAGTATGCTTCGAGGGCGTCAACGTTCGCTTTCTCACGATCGCTGTTCACCAACTCCTCATGCAACGCACCAAATCTTCATGCGAACGCAATGCAACGTCACTATCGCTTTACAAGTCGCAAATCGACATGCCACACGCTGTACGACAATGGGGCAGTGTCCCGCTCTCAGACTCGGCTCTTGCCACGTTCTCGAAGTCGATCGCTTGAAGCGATTGGACTTGAACGGCACTTAGACGTTCACACACAATGAGGCGCTCCAAGGCTTCTCAGTGTCACAACAAGTGACTTCCTGGGATGTGGCACTGGCTCTGTGGCTCGCCACCAGGACTGGATCCCTGTCTGCGTTTTGACGTTCGATATCGGGATACCTTGCACCAGAGGAATGTTCCAGACACGTGAGGACAAGTTCACATGGGATTTTCAGACATGCGGTTCAGCTTTTGACAGGATTCGCACAGCCCGACCCTGGATTTCCAGCGCAGCGCAGTGCGCGCACGCCTCACCTGATTTTTCGCCACTCAACCCCGCGTTTGGCGCAGCACAATGATCGCTCTCGTGACTCAGAATTCACACGGTCACACAGAATATGACCGCCTACAACGATCTCCCTTCCCACACACTTGATCCAGGGCCAGCAACCTGTCGGACACATGGAATAAACGGCGAGCAATCAATTGTTACACCCGGATCCAACTTTATAATGTCCCAGCACTCGTTCACCATTGGTCGCCACGGGGCGCAGGGGGTCCTGAAATGCTGGACGCTATGGTGACGGCCCCCTTTTTATTTATAGATTGGCCAACTATTCCACAGCCTTCCAGAGCTTTCTAAGATCCTTCCCAGTCAGCCAAATGCTCCCTAACTTGTCACGTCACCCCTTCATTAACATCGATCGATAAATGGGATATCCTTCCCGAACATTCCAGACATCCAGACTCTTCTAAACTCGCATTACGTTATGAGCATGACCGCGCTGCGGTCTCCATGATTGCACCAGCGCCTTTTGGATTTGGTTCCATGGCTATATATAGCCTCCTGTCCAATCGCGCGCACGCCATGCATTCAGCCGCTTGCAATTCGTGTGAGTCTGCCCTCGCCTGCTCCCCCATGCCTCCGCCATGTGCGCCAGCGCCTCGCCCACACCACCTATCGCTGAGCAGGCCTTTAGATGCAGGTCGCGCCCAGCAGTCCCGCACGTCGTGGATTCGAGCGTCCCTTGGGCTCATCGCAGCCCCTCATGGGCATGCAAATTCCATGCACGGCAAGGCAGACCGCTGCCATGCAAGCATCGCAACGCAGCCCACGCGATTCCGCCATCATCATTGTGAGGACAAGAAAAGGTGTATAAGTAGTTAAGTGGGTATGGTGAATCGAATACGGTGTTTATTGTGGCGACATGGAGAATGATGGGGGAAAGACATGAACTAAACATGCTTGCAGTGAATGCTACATGACGGACAGAACCGTTCTGTAATCCATCTGGTTGCGGCTTGCTTCCCGTGCCTGGGAGCGACCGTGTGTGAGCGCGAGCGAGGAGCGCGAACAGTGAAACCACGCTATAATCATCATCGTCATCGAGCCTAGGCAGCCACGCCCTCGCATCCATGTTCGAGCGTGTCGTCGCAAGTTGCCGCCACCATGTGTGCGCCTCTGAGGCGCCCTGCAACTCGGCGTCCAAGGTTGCTGTACGACATTGTACGCCATGACATACGACACAAGATGGCAACCACAGACGCGCACCCCAAGGTATGGGACAACATGCGTACATTCACCAGTTCACCCAATCATCATTATCGGTTGAGTATTGCTGCCCAACTGCATCCCACTGTTGTGGCGCTCTTGAAACTGCATGTTCTGCCCAGAATTCTGCCATCAATGGGAGTCATTTTCAAAGCAGAATGACTCCCCCTTTTGGCCTATTCTGCACCCATTTAGCAGTTGTAACATGTCCAACTTTTTCAGTAATCTATCCAGCACTGATCGCATTAGTTTTGTGATGAAGGGGCCATCGCTTCCCCACGAGTTCTGCCTTTTCAAAGGCGTCTTTTGCCACGAGCCCATCATTGTGCTGATGTGGTACCATGACTAACAGCGAGTTTAACACTTGTTCTAACTTATTATTGCTAACTATGTTACAAACAGCTGAAGATATTTGTAATGTCTTTACAATTCGATGCAAAATTTCACGAAACTGATGGCAGTCAAATGGCCATTATCGTCTTTTGGTCCATGCTCAGACAATTCGTTGCCGTGTGTGCGCAGAAGCAAATCTGCGCAATAGTGTGCTGTAACTGTGCTTCAATGCAATACACGCTTCAAGCCTCGGAAGGCCCAAAGACGACGGCCCAAGCCAGCAAAGCGCTGGGACGAAAGGGGGCTGCGTTGTTGGGGCGTTGCGTTCACACATGATTAACCCCCCATTTGCACAGGGCGTCATGTAATGCATGCCCAGCAACCACTTGACATGACGTCACGATTTGCGTAAGATGAGCTTTGACCACGGTGCTGACGTGCTCCCACGGCGCCCCACAGCCGAGGCGAGCGCGCCAGGTGTCCCAGCCACGCGCCCCGCAGTCAGACGCCCGCGGCCCCATGACTCACACATCACCCATCAAATCATTGCCAACGCCACTCCCGCCACAAGTACAGCGCCAATGTATGCGAAGGCCCCCATTGCAGGTTCCCAGCCCCGTCACACACCCCACGAAAACGACCACGAAGATGGCCGCCGGTTCCGCTGTTAAGGACCAACACCGCGTGTTCCGGACTTGCGACCCGGGCCTGGCGAGCAACGTTGCTCGTGTCAACACTGCTGGACGCCGCATCGCGCCGTTTCCCGTGTTGCCCCCCGCGCGCGGCGCAAGCCAGAGCCGGCTTGGGAGCGCCCACCTCAAGGGAACCTCCAGCCACCCTCGCCTCTGGCCTGGGCGCTTCCCCGGCTGCTTAATCGCAGTGGGAGGTCGCCTCGCCCGCCTCTTGCCGTCGCCGAGCCAGGGGGTGCTTTCCGGGAGCGACCCGCGGAGCCAGCCACCGGCGAGGACAGGCGGCGGGACAGCAGACTCGCGGAGCGCGTCGCCATGGCGGCTGCGGAGGCGCCACCCTGGTGGACGCCCGACATGCAGTCGCTGTGCCAGAGGCGGGCGCCCCTGCCAGGTCGGGGCGCGCACCGCCAATCCACGCGGCAACAACAAAAAAAAAACAGTCGCCCATCCTTTTGCGCATCCGTTCTAAGGTCGTGAATGTCGGACGCCTTTGCGGCCCGGTGTGTCCTTGTTCGCCCGATTCTCCATAATCTCGTGGTCCCTTGGTTCGTTCGCTTCCCGCAGCTGCTTCGCTGCGTGGGTTGGTGACACAGGCCGCAGGTCGAGTGCTTGAACAGCAGGGCGGGTTTGGAAAGGACGGCTGGGTGGATCTGCCGCCTCCCGTCTGGCGAGCGGCTTACCTGCCTTGCCTCGCGCCCTCGACCATCGCCATCCGGTTTGGCTACAGTGTTTCCGGCTTCCGCTGACTGGAGCGGACCGGTGTGGACTCCGCGCCGTGGATTGACACCCGATCGGCTGTTTGTGTGCGCCCGCAGACGTGGGCCGCTGGCAGTCGACCTACGTGAGGTACAAGGGCCAGACCGAGGGGCAGGTGTGCCAGCACGGCTGGGAGCAGGCCACCAGCCAGCAGGTGCAGGACCAGCTGGCGATGGCCAGCAACGGCGGATTTGCGCCAGGACGCACGCCCCTGCACTCCGCCCTGGCGCCGCTGGCCATCAACATGCGCATCGTGACGGCGCCCGCGGAGTTCGCCGTGCCCGTGAAACAGGACAGGTGGGGCGGGCGACGATTGGCACATGCCCGAACCGCGCTTTGACCACGCAATTTGACGTGCCTCCCAGCGCTGCGTTTCAAATAGGGGCTGGAAAGTGAGAACGGCCCCCGCGTCGTTCGTGCTTCCGGACCTTACGGTCTTAGCACCCCTTTGGAGTGAATGCGGTTTGGCAGCAGGCGTATTTGCGGCTGCTCCAGGCATGTTTGGACGTACCACGGCGGTGACCCGCACAGCTTGATATAACACGAAATTGAGATCTGCTGCCGCACACGGTTGCGTAGTGTGTGCTGCTGGGTGATTTCTGGTGTGTTTGGAAGCTTGCGTGTGACCTTCACCGCTGGGTATAAGCTCTCTCCACATGTGCATCCCATCCTGTCGACCAGAGTTTCCTGGATGGTTCCCGTTGTCCTCACAAAGCTCTGTGCTACCACCTGGGAACATTGTCTGAGGGCGCAGCAAAGGGCAGGTGCACAATGGCCTCATGCAAGCCAGACACAGTTTTCTGTATCCACCAGTTCCGCACAGTATTGAGTGTTTCTGCACATTGCCCATTCCACGCCTGCCGTTGGCTCTGCCCTAAATGTGTGTGTGTGTGTGTGTGTGTGTGTGTGTGTGTGTGTGTGTGTGTGTGTGTGTGTGTGTGCCCCCAGACGGTTGACTCCAGACTTCAAGGTGCGTGTGGAGGTCAAGTACAGGGGCCAGGTCTCATTCCCCCTCACAGTGCGTGCCTACATCCTGTCACAGCAGGAGAAAGACAACTTGCCAGAGTGGTCGCCAGAGGGCGCGGTGGACAATGATGGGCAGGTATACAGCCGCACATGTGCATCTGTGCAAGCCAGTGCAGCCAGAAATTCATGGACATGTGAGAATATAGACACATGCACAACAGGGGCATGTAGTTAATCTGTCCAGCATAGAAGAGCGTCTGCCAAGAGCTGATAGGCAAGAACATCTCTGTAGATGAGCAGCACCTTTTAACGGGAGGGGTGGGGACTGTTGCTGTTGAGCTTTGGGCAAGGTAAGCATTGCTGTGTATCCTGCCATCAACAGACTTTTCCGTGGAAACAGCATCGGTGCCTTGTGGGAGTGTTCTATATCATTTAGGTAGTCAGAAAGGGCTGATCACACAGGGTTTTGCTGTTGCTGCTGAGCAGAGGGCTGGTTTGTGTTCACCTGTCTGCACATGGTGATGGCATTATGAGTGGAACTCTGCTTCTGCCTGCAACGGCCTGAGTCGTGCACAATTTGTGGTTTCTGCAGAATGAAAGGAAAGGGCACCCAACTGAGCTGAAAGGGACAACTTACATCACACACCATTTCGAGGCCAACATGTCAGGGGTGAGTATTGTTCAGCGATGTCCATGATTCACTGCTGTGCTTATTGCTTCCTCTGTTGAGCAAAATGTTGTTGTTTATTATGATTATGACCCGTCAGCCCTTCAGCAGATGGGCTGAGAGGACTGGACAATGCAGATTCCTTGCTGGCACTGGTGGGCATCCCCATCATCTCCTGCAAGTTGCAAGGACCCTGCCTTGTCTTTTGAAAGTGAATTAAAACAAAGGAACAGAGGTAGCACTGCTATCGCTGCATAGGCATTGTGCTGTTGTTCTACCGATGTGTATGCATGGAGCATCAAACCATGTTTGATGTGGCCTTTCAGGGCATTGTCATCCTCTGATCAATTGCTTGGTGTTGCCTGTCCAGGGGCTACTACATTGTTTGCTAAGGGATTAGTGTTCCGAAATTTCGAGTTAATATTGGCCAATTTGGAACAGGGCTTTGCTGATGTAGGCAGTACCTTACATTGTGTTTGATCACACAAGAAGACCTGCAAAATTTGAATAATGTGGCTAGTAGAACATTGTTGTCATGTAGCATAATGTTAGATGCCACATTGTCCTGTAACATAGTCTAATATGCACACCCAGCCAACCACATTGCCTTGTCACAGGGCCTGTCATCTAGCTTCAGTGGAAGCACAGGTGTCCAAACCCTCCAGGGCCACACTGTGCACCATGTCGTGCCCTCAACTGTCATCCAAACCCCCCAGTACATGGCCAGTCAGGGCGGGATGGGGCAGAGGTACCCCCAGCACCCACAGCTGCAGCTGCACTCGGGGCTTATGGGCCAGCGACAGGAAGTGATCACATTGGACTCGTCGAATCCCCTGTCGCTAAATTCCGGGACGACTGCCAGTGCTGTGCCATCCCTGGGGGACTTCAGCGACTCGTCAAACTGGGCGGCGATGCTTCAAGACTTCTTCCCAGAGGGAGACGGTGAGATTCTGTCGTTGGTGAACTAAACTGGTGTTGTGCACATCCCATGCATCCCTGCCTCAATCAGCATGTCAAACAGAACAGTCTGTCTGTGAATATCCCCTTGAACATTTACGTGAACATTAATGGTTTACCAGGAAAACACATTTGGAGTTAACACCCTCGTTTGGGCAAGATGTTGGTGAGTGGATTGTCCAGAAGTTTCGTTGTCCAGCAGGAGGGCCACACAGCACAGAGCCTGAAGTACATGAAGGAAAGGGCCTGCCTGTGGTGTTTAGTCCAGGCCCCCCTGCTGACTTCCTCTGTGGATGTTGGTCGTTCTGTTTGCAGTGAGCTGTTGAAAGAGTGTTGTGCACATCAGCAGTGTGCTGTGTTGGTGGGTTGAAGTGGATCGATAGCTTCAGTCAAGAGATAAAGGTGAATAGCTTGCACTTTGTATTCCTCCAGGTGGACCTGCTGGGGCCGTGGCACTTCTGTGCGGCCTTGGGGTGGGCAAGGGTTACGCATGTCAATGCTAGTTTCAACCTGGTGAAGAACTAAATTTTGACTGAAGCAACTCGAACGAACAGATATAGTTCGTGTGATTGTTGTCATTGACAAATGTAGCCAATGAAACTTTTGCTTCTGCACCTGTGGCAGTCGACTTGCAGTGCTGACAAGTGCTCTGTGTTTGCCTTTTCCTTGCAGTTACCACTGTCTCCGCAGAGTTCATGCAGGGCATGGACGCAAACAGTGTGAGCATCAAGCCTGAGCAAGTGATATCGCACTCGGATCAAAAAATCATCATCAGCGAGAACGTGCTTCAGGAGGAGGGTGTGCTGATGCACGACTTCGAGTTCTTGAATCTGGAATTCATGAAGCCAACCCGCATGAGCAAAGTGTATGCATGCTTTGCTTGTACTGTCCTGGAACGGGACCTTCTGTACTGCATCTTCCACATTCCTACTGTGGGCATTTGCAGGGCAGAACAACGTGCGAAGGCCTGTGAGAGATTGGTGAGAATGCATCTTCTAAGGTTATATTTGTGAGAGTGGAATTTTCATGAGCGTTTCTTGTTCTTGCAGGAAAATGGAGAAGCCATGTTGTTCCTCCAGCACGAGGCACAGCAAGGCACTTCCCTCAGTAATGTACAGAGTACTTTGCCCAATCATGGAGACTTGTGGGTCCACACATGGTTTGTTGGGTGCAACCTGCTTTCTGTCTGCACTTTCATGAGCTCCACACACTGATCCTCAGTGTGTCTTGGGTTTTTGCGTTGCTTTAATTCAACCTTGTGCTTTTCCGCTGTGCTGCAGAGCATACCAAGGAGGGTAATGGATCAGTCCAATGCAAACAGTCAGTGTGAGACCAGCGAAGCAAACTCTTGCTACCCTCAAAGCAGGAAGCGGATTGGGGTGAGCGCATGATTGCATTGCCATGGGCATTCATCCTGGTATCCCTTTCAAGTAGGAGTTGAACCAGTCAGTTTGCCACAGGTTGACACTCTGCGGAGCTGGAGGCCTATCAGGCCTCCAGCCACAGTGGACAATCTTGCTGCCATACCCCACACATTGTTATGCAGGGGACATGTTTGCCTTTCTGAGCGTAATGTAAGTGATTGCAGTGGGCCAGTTGGGGTTTCAAACCATGTCTTGGCCGTTTCTGATGCACTGTGCTGGTGAAAAGAACACATGGGGCTACAGCATTGATGCTGGAAGGCAGATGTGGCACAGCTGCACTCAGAGAGTGTTTTTTACACTGTCATGCACCATGCCAAGAAGCGCAAACATTTCCCCCAATTAATTTCCATCCCACTGTCAATAGCCTGGCCTTGCACACTTGCCGGCACAATGTGATGATGCAAGCACAGGTGCAGGCAGCTCACCATGGCATTTCCTCACAAGCAACAGCCTGACTTAACTTGACATTGCAGAATGCTGGGCAACCCTGTTTGGAACAGTACTGGATGATGCGAAGGGGAAGCAGTCGAACTTTGCCACTCCTTCACCAGCGTCAGCTGAACTCGGCTGCGTTGCAGGAAGCTTCGGAACGCGGCGAATCCACCCGCAACCCCGGTGGCTGGAACCCAGTGATGGACAGGCTCCCTGCCTCGCCCCCCAACCACAGCAGCGGCGACACCATGCCCCACTCCCGCAACGCCCTGCGCGAGTGGATCCTGGAGGAGTACGAGAGCCGTGGCTGGAGGCGCAGGCTCACAGAAATGGACCTACGGACATTGGAGTCCCAGGCGGGCTTCCCAGCAGGGGGCGGGGACGTGGACGTGTCCCCGATCCAGTGGGAGGAGTTCACAACACAGTTCAGGGACGTGCTGGGCCTCCTCACCAAGATATCCGCCGTTTGGAACCACGAGGACCCCTGTGTGATATCCGGGCTGGACATGGACCGGGGCCGGACTGCACAAGCGCTGGCCAAGGAGCCCTCTGGCACGTTCATATGTCGGCTGAGCTGGTCTGAGCCCGGCAGCCTGGTGCTGACCTGCAAGGTTGCGCCGGGGACGCCTGCGGCCGATGGGGATGGGCTGCTGCACGTCATTATCGGGGTGAGCGCTGTAGACAGCGTCAATTACTGCAGTCGATGCAGTTAGTACATGTCCATCGCGATCGATTGATATGATGCAATTTTGGACGACATGGGTATGAGACTCAGCACTCAGTTGCACTGTGACCCAATGCATTCGTAGCTTTGGACACAGTGGTATTGCCAGATCTTACTACATACTGCACATGATGGGTGAAGAAATGCGAATATCGGCCGTTAAGCATACATTGCATGCAGTTTCACACACTTCCACCGCAAAGGAATTGTGCGCTGATCTTGATTGTGCCAAGGTAGAGCGTCCTGCATTGGCAACGCATCTATGCCAACAACTGCATTTTGCATTTTGCAATGATTGAAAGCCTGCCACGCTGTGTAGCTGCTGCAAAACGCGTCCCATCCTCTGCAGCAAAACGCAACAATACACAGATATCTCCCTTTCATTCCAATTCCGGCACATGTTTTGCAAGCACGCCTGCTTCCATTTGCACTGTGACCCGCAATGTTGGTGGCTCGCTCGCAGGCCAAGGACCTGAATGAGCGACGAGTGGACACCTGGATCCGGGACTACCCTGCAGCCACTCACGTCTTGGACGTCTACACCCACAAGCGCGTTGACAAACGCAAGGTGTTTGCCTCCAACTACACTCGACTGCGATTGATGGATGACCTCGATTCGATGTCACAAGGGTGACAGGACAACACTCCTGGCCCTGTTCTTCCCTTGGACACCCAATCTGGATGTCACTATTGTGGCGCTGGGCCACTCGACTGGAGTGAGTGGAGGGAGTGCTCCCTTGGAAGACGTATGGCTTTGTGGCATCATACGCGTGTGGAAGAAAGAGAAGTTGCTTGGGGCGTAGGGTGTAGGGGTAGGGTGTCGCGGTGACGTGTGTTGCGTATTCTGCTGTGGTGCTTGTACATTGCGGGGCTGCATGACATGTATTGGCAGGAAGACTGGGAAGCAGGGATTGTAGGAACGTCCAAGCAGCGTCAATAACGGAAAGGTTGTACGTAGGAGTGGCTCGGTAAGCCAAATGGCTCCCATGCAGGGATAAATGTTGGTGAATGCGACTAGTGGCACCGTTGCCTGCGCCCCTCTGTTGGCTGTGGGCGCAGCTTGCCACGTGGTAATTTGCAGGCGTCGGGTTGCCGATACACTGATTTGAGCGTTGAACGGCCATGTCGGTGATGCTTGCGCCCCTGGGGTCGCCGCCCTTCCCTCACTGCTGCTCAGTCGCTGCGCAGACATATTCGCAGCATCCACACACACACACACACACACTGACGGAAACGAACGGGCATTGATGCTCGAAGAAGGCACCAAGTGGACACAAGATGGGAGATTTGAGGAGGCTGCATGGATGAACCGGCGTCCTTTTCGAAAGCCATTGCCCATTGGCCATTGGCGAACCCATCCAAAGGTTTTAGCCAAACAGCTTCATCACCAGAAATGGTTTGTTCTTATGGGAGAAAGGACAGTGTGTCGTATCGCGAGCGCGCCCCTGCTGGCGAAAATTTACTGCCAGTTGATTGATGCTTGATTGAAGCACAGAGCATTCAGGGCGCACACTTGTCAGGCATGACGTCTTTCCAAGAACACACTCGCGTGTTCTGCGCCATGCTTTTGAGTTTTAATGCAACGGAATGCGTTGGTCAAGAAAGCGCATCTACCGAAGGCCTTGCGATGGCGGAGGAAACCTAAAAATAAACCTGGGTCAAGGCAATGACATCACATGCCATCAATTTGTACAGTGACAAACAAACAACTGGAAAGGCACGAGTCCATTTTGAGTGGCGCTGTCCCCGTATTCTACGAACGCCGCGCCAGTCAGACTCTTGCCGGGGCCGACTGGTGCGGCAGTATTTGATTTGGGACAACCACTGCAATGAACGGCTGACGCCTGCGCGCCCAAGGCGCTGCGGCGGCTGCGCCCGTCCACCAGACGCTGACCACACTCCCTGCATTGCACCGACGGCCTGTATATGCCGTCCCAACCAGCCGCAGCCCCCAAATTCCTGCCTCTCCCCATTTGCACACCCTCCTTCGCACGCTCCTTGGACCGAATCCTGCCGCTGCAGCCTTCCCCGCCAACCACTTGCCGCTCCCCCCGGCCCCGCGTTCCCCACCCAAATCGGCGACACGCGAACCTGTCCGCGCCGCCTGCGGGCTTGTACGGTGCGCCTCCCCTCCAGATATTGGGCCTGGCCGGCGCAGGGGGCCCGTCAGTCATGGCGCGTCTCGCCGGGCGCCTCCGCAGCCTTTGATTCGCTTCCTCGGGCCACGGCGGCACCACGTGGACCCACCCGCCCAGCCCCTGGTCCAGCCGGTCGACCACTTCGCTCGCAGCGGCGCCACGTTCGGCGACAGTCGCCTGTCTCCCCCGCCCACTCCACCGAGACTCCTTGCTGCCACCGCGTCCGTTCCCAAGACAGAACAAGGGCAGGGCCGGTCTCCGGCGATCCCCTCCCCCCCTTCTGGCGCCCGAGGGCAGGCAGTCACCGCTGGGCGCCGTACGCTGACGCTTCAGCTGGGCGCGATTTGCGGATGTTCGGTCGCGGCGGGGCGCAGGGGCCGCTGGAGGCCGCGGAGATGAAGGCGCACGAGGCGCAGATGGGGCTGCTTTCGCCGCGGGGAGGGCCGGAGAGGCGGCTGCCGCGACGGGCGCTGGCCGCGTCCGCGCTCGCGAGGCCCGCCGGGTGAGCGGGTGGAGACGCGTTGCGCCATCGGCGCTGCCCGAATGCACGAGATGCGCTCGACGGTGGGCTCGCGACGATGGGGCACAAGGGATGCGCTGTTCGGCTTGGCTTGGAGCGGAAAGATTGACGGTCAGTTGGTCGTCGGCAGCGGCGTGTTTGAGGCCCGGTCGGCCAGTTGATGTCCCGTTAGGTTGTCGCTTTCGCAAAATCGCGCAAGAAATTGATTCTTTTCAGATCGTGGCCGTGCGGGCCTCAGGATGGGAGCCCCTCCTGGCGTGCATGGAATTTGACCGTCGCCGCGGCGGAGTCTCATGCGTGTGGTGGTTGCCTTGGCAGGGGTCGCGCCACAGGCCAGGCGCCGTCCCAGAGGCCGCAGGCCATCGCGGAGAAGGTCGCCGTCGAGACGGTGAGGGTGCGACTGAACTGTTTGCGGGATCCCGTGTCGCGATTCCAATTGTCGCCGGCGGCGTTTGACCGCGGGCGTCAACGCCGACGACTTTAGCGTCCAAGGTTGGACGCTCGTCGACTATGGTTGGTTGGCGAATCACTGCATTATGGCACCCCGAAATCCGGGCACCCCCTTGCAAAACTCAGACGCGCCGAGAGTAAAAAGCGTCGCGGGGGTGCATCTTTACGAGGGCCGCGGTTTGCCCACCGGTGCGGTGAGTTCGATGAGTTCCACAGCTCGCAGCGCCATGTAATCATGTGCGTTGGCATCTGGAAGAACAAAGGAATAGATTATAGCTACGCGCACCAAGAGTCACGGGGCGCGATGTGCACCTGCTTTTGATCGAGGTTGTTGCTTGATCAAGAGATCTAGCGACCGGGGCGAGGCGCCTTTGTGTACTTTATGTCCAGCACCAACACCCATGCCGCTCTGGCCGGCATGAACTGGCCCGCACGAAATTCCATTTTGACTGCGTGTCCGCAAGGAATGAAATCTTTCCCATCCATCAGCACCAATGATGACAGTGGGAAAGCAGGAATTTGCTGGAACCCCACACCATTGTTGTTTGACATGGTTAACATTTGCCAGGTATTCATATTGGCCCTCCACGACCTTTGGCGATGCATTCTGCACAGGCAGTTGCATTCTAGAGTTGTCTTTTCCTCTTCCCAGATATTGCACCACTGAGAAGAATCCAAGCCCACACTATGTTCACTGTGGTGTTTGCAGATGGCACTGCACCATGCCTGGCATATGAACGAGCGGTTTGTTCTTTAGCTTCCCCATTTCAATCCTTGACGGTCTTTTGTAGTAATGGGTATCATCCGACTGGGCTTTTGTGCTGTGGTTATTTCCAGGAGAGCGCCCCACCTCCACATGGATCCATTGCCTACACAAATCCATGGCAAGCACTGAAGGAGCATGTAAACGAGATTGAGAAAACGTGAGCCCGCTCTAAATGTTCGTAGCATCTTTGCAATCACTTTCCCATCCTTCCTGCAGCCTTCTGTTGCTTTTTCTGATGGTTGCATGGGCACCAATCAACAAAAGCTTTAGCATGGCAGCCAGTGTGAATGTGTGCATTCTTATGCCTTGCAACATGCTGGTGCCGATTCATAAACGATGCGTGCTTTTCCATCAATTGTGGCGAGCAAATAGTCGCTTGGCGGCATTGCAGATGCCCAAAACTGTTGTTTCCTTGTCTCGGTGTGCAGATGTGTGCTACTGGCTCCCAGTGTGCCTCACACAGTCAATCGGCAGTAAAGCCAAACGACAAGTGTTGCAATGAAGATTTGGCACCTGCCACACAGCGACATGCAGCCGATCCCACCTGAGCCTCACAGCACTGCTTACTTCCTTGTAAGCACTACATGGAAAGGAAACCTAGCAGTGTTGTCCTGACTTGGGATCTGTTCACAATGCTACAGTCATTTACGGGACCTGCTAGCTGTGGAGTCCAGGACCCTCGCCCTCATTAAGGAACACAATGGAGTGTACTGCGACTTCTCCCGGCAACGAATCACAGAGCAGACCCTTGAGGTGTGTGTAGGTATGCACGGTGCTGATGCAAACATCTTTCATGTCAAACCCGCAGCATGCATTGCATGCACAGACCATGGTGCTGAGCATGACAGCTGCATTGTGAGCATTTGTATAATGATTGCATGAAGCGTTGCTGCTGGGCTGCTCAGTTGTCTGTGGCTCCAGTTCAACGGTGCAATGGCGCGGGCAAATGATTCTCACAGGCTGCTGCGCTGATCAGCTGCATGTTACTCCAACACATAGTTGCAGTAATTCTGCAAGATATATTAGCGAACAGCAAGAAGAAACATGAATGCGAACAACCCAGCGGATTATTTTGAGAATCTGGCTGTCTGGAAGCAGGCAAACATGAAAAGTAGGTGATTAGTCACGTTATGACACATCAAATTATGCGCCCGTTTTATTTTCCCATTATTGTTGGATGCCTGCAGCTGTTGAGAAACCTGGCGGAGGAGGCTCGGTTGAAGGAGAAAATTGATGCGATGTTCAATGGGGAGAAGATCAACGCAACGGAAGGCCGTGCTGTGCTCCATGTGGCAACAAGGGCAAAAAGGGATCAGGTTTGTTGTTGTCGAACACAATGAATGAACAACAACAGACTGTTGCTTACTAGACGTCGATGCGTTTGAATTCAGATTTGGGCTGCTTAGAATTGCTGAATTGAGCTTCTCATGGATGAAATTGAACTTAATTGCTCACCTAATATACCATTGATCGATTCCAGCCACCCTGCTGCATTGTACGATTCAAGCCCTAGATGCTCAGTGTTGCTTTTTTGACTGCAGTAGTTTGCATTGGGTACAAGTGCACGAAGTACATGTGTTCTACCCAATTCAATGGCCCAACTGATTCCACATGAGTGCCAAATGGTTTGAGACCTTCGGAAGTGTTCATGCGGTTAGCCTGTTTTTGGCTAACAACAGATCTGAGCCACGCCAAGGCTGCCTTTGTGAGCTCAATGTGCACTTTGATTTTGTAGAAGATAATAGTCGACGGAAAGGACGTTGTGCCAGACGTGTGGGAGGTGCTGGACAAGATCAAGGACTTTTCTGACAAGGTCCGGAGTGGTGAATGGCGTGGGGTTACAGGAAAGCCCATCAAGAATGTTGTGGCCGTCGGCATCGGTGGAAGCTTCTTGGGCCCGCTGTTTGTGCACACCGCGCTCAGGTGGGTGCTCGAACTCGCCTAAGTATTGTCCAAATGCACCCGCTTTTTCTGCTGAGCCTTCTGGGCATGTGGCTCGATCGCAGACGTGCATCAGATTAATTCTGACTTTCGTAAAATGCGCTGATGAGAATGGCCTGCCATTATGCGGCTGTAAACAAGAATTTCCAACGATTACACTCACTAAAACACTAAATCAGACAGCGTTTTGCTCAGTGTATGTATAACGCACAGTGTTTGGCGTTATCCTTGTGTTCGCGTTGTGAGCAATGCGTGCTGTCAATAGCTTTTTGCGCTATTACTTATGTTGTGCAGTTGGCAGGCGCCCGGGCAGGCAACCGCGTGCACTCGTGTGGCGGCCAATGCTGACGTGCCGCCCCGGCGTGTTTTTCGATGCATCAGCTGAAATTGTGCTGGATCGTGATCGTGCCTTACATATTCGGCCGTTTTTTACAAGAACCGGTGGAAAAATCTGCAATATTTATCGCTGAGTATTTTCACTTGCTTGTTGTACAATAACTCGCGAGGACAAATTGCGGCCTTTTGGCTGCACCCTCTGGCCGTGCTGCTCAGGCAATGCTTGACTGGTCTGCTGTCTGTGTCCCTCCTCAGGACTGAACTGACTGCGGGTGCTGCAGCTGAGACACGCCGCCTTCGGTTTCTGGCCAACGTGGACCCAATCGACGTCGCCAGGGCACTGGACCAACTTGACAGGGAGGAAACTATGGTCGTCATCATCTCAAAGACGTTCACCACTGCGGAAACCATGCTCAATGCGCGGACATTGCGGACGTGGCTGACTAAGAAGCTTGGTGAGTCAAGAGGGCGTGTTCTTTCGCCCTCCAGGGTGAGGTCGTGTCCGCATAATTGGGATGTTGCACGACAAGAGGAGCGCCAGTAATATACTTCCTCCGTCCGGAATCAGTTGTCCTCTATGGATTTGGTGCCTTACTTCTCTGTCACAGACACTTATTTCTCATTCAAATTCCTTGCAGAGTTGCGCCTATGTTTAAGAATATGCAGTCAAAATTTCAAGTCAATCCGTTGAGTATTGCAGATTTGGCAATACTTTGTAGCAAGGGTCATCCAGCCAGAACCCACCAGTTTTTCAACATCCCTGCTGGAATGGCCACTTTGGCTGTTTTGAGGAGCATGCCTTTGCGGCAGCGCTACAGAGCCGCCCAGGCAAAACATCCATACCGTTTGGACAAAAGATTATGGAGGTGCTTGCAAAGGAGAAGGGCAACAGAAAATGTGTCTTGAAAGTCCTGATCGTGGAAGTCGCCGTGTCTTGCAGCTGCAACTCAAGCTCGATTGGCCAAATCAGAGATGCCCATCAGGTTTAGATCTCTGGACCATAACTTTTGGATCTCCAACTCCACTACGAGTGATACTACAAGAGGCCTCCCAAATTGTTCGCAAACCTTTAGGAAGGTGGTGGCCATCACCCCATTCAGTGGCGGACAATTAGGGGGCAATTAGGTAGTGGCCCTCCTGGACAAGAATGGTGAATCGACCATTTTTTGGCACTTAAAGGGCTTGAGCTTGAGAAGACTAGCTGGCTGAATAAAATTATGTCTCTTAAAGGGAAACGCACTTGCTGAGCTGCAATGGATTGTGGATTGCATGCAAGAATTGGCAGATTGTGGCAGTTTGTGGGGTGTGGGCCAGGCTGCCCACAAGAGCAACGATTCAAGCCTCAATCGAGGTAGATTATCCAAGGACATCCACTGCATAACCTTGGAACAATAGCTCGCACATAGCCCAAACTTGAATACATTGGACCCTAGCCTTGTCCGCTTGCTTTATGTCCACATGTCAAAGATCGACAATGGCTGAGATTCCAGAAATCGTCAAAACTGCAATGATGGCCTTCCACGATGAGGATCCAAACATGCTCGAGCGTGTTTGGCAAGCGCTATTCCACGTAAGGGACACCACCCTTCACTGCAAAGACAACAACGACTTGTCTTTGGTGCACCAAGGCTGGGAGTGACCCAGAAACGTGCGAATCTCTAGCAGATGCGGAATCTGCATGCACACTTTTTGGACGATTTTCGGCTAATTGGGGGGGGGCCATCCTAACGGGTTGGGACTTTTCTTTTTGAAAATGTGTAGTTGAGGGTTTTGCAACCTAGTCTTTCCGAAAATGATGTTCTTTTGCAAACTTAAGGTGCCTTTTATAACGAATTTTGTCTCTCAAATAGAGGACAATTAATTCTGGACGGAAGAAGTATAATCTATTTGTGTACTCCATTTACTTCTTTCTTGGTACAGTTGTGCTTTTGGAACATTGATGGGCTGCGCAGGCCAAAGATAGTGCTGCACTCCACTGTTGTATCTGTGGTCTAGCTGTCATTGCAAGATGTTGTATTGAGAAGGTTAAGGGAGTTGCATACATGTGGCTTTGTTTCAGCTGGGCACTGCAGGAAGCCATGACGACACCTTTGGACACATGTGCTATTAATGTAGAGCTTGAAGCAGCAGTATTCAACACCCTACGGCGAACATGATATTTGAGGCATAATTGGAACACTTTAAGGACTTAACCGAATAGGTTGCTCAGAAACCCGTTGGCGTTGACATATTTCCCACATCGGGGCTTGCTGAGTGTTGAGAGCAATCTTCTTGTCGCTGCCGAACACTTTTGCCTGATACTCTGTGGTGCTGAGCAGAGTTTCCACAAACACTTGATCAGGATGGGATGCCCTTGCCATGACATGCCTTCAAGCGATTGTATGCGCATTGCTTGACATCTTCCTGACAAAAACTCGATCATCGGCACAACATTGTGACGGTGGCTGCTTCCCATGCCAATGAGCCAGGTGAGGGTGCCGTTGCTAAACACATGGTCGCCGTCAGCACCAACGTGGAGCTGGTCAAGGCCTTCGGCATCGACCCCCAGAACATCTTTGGCTTCTGGGACTGGGTTGGGGGCAGGTACTCTGTGTGCTCAGCCGTCGGGATGTTGCCCCTCTCCCTCCAGTATGGCTTTGACATCATGGAGCAATTCCTGCTGGGTGCAAACGACATCGACAACCACTTCGCCACGGCCCCCTTCGACAGTAACCTGCCTGTAATCCTGGGGTTGCTGTCGGTCTGGAACGTGTCGTTCCTGGGCTATCCCTGTCGAGCCATCCTGCCTTACTGCCAGGTACTGCACTGGAATGAATCCATTCTCTTTGCAGTGCTTTTGGAGCAATGGCCGTCGCGAATCATGCAGTTTATTTGCCGCACTGTCTGAATGCAGGGCCGTGAGTGATTGAATTGCAGCGTGAAATGCCGGCTACTTATGAACAAGGTTGGCTTTCGTGTGCATTTGTACGTTCGTTCGTGTCTGTGAGTGCGCTACGAAGGGGTGCGTTCTGTGTAAGCAAGTCGGCATCAAACTCCAGAGATGAGAGACTGCGCTGTGGGTACAGAGCCGTCGCAGATCCTTGAGAGCTCAAAGTGAGGAGGCAAAAGTTGAGCAGCTTTGCTCAAGTTCTGTCTCCTCCCTCATGTGCAGCTGATGCGACGTGCCCAATTTGCAGCATTCTTGAGGAATGACGAATGTGCAGAATTCCATGCTGACCAAAAATATGAATGTTTGGTTTCTCGTTTCCCTGTGCGTCATTCCGCGCGCGGCACATACCAGTCATGCACCTTGCATTCGTCGTGGCGACGGAATTCGAATGGTCGGATCGACCTGACGGGGGTCCAATCTGCCGCAGGCCTTGTCCAAGCTCGCCCCGCACATTCAACAGGTGTCAATGGAATCCAATGGCAAAGGCGTGGACATCAACGGCAAGAACCTGCCATTTGATTCGGGCGAAATGGACTTTGGAGAGCCTGGAACCAACGGGCAGCATTCCTTTTACCAGCTCATCCACCAGGGCCGTGTCGTCCCCTGCGACTTCATTGGAATCGTCAGGTCACAGCAGAGCGTGTACCTCAAGGGAGAGATTGTGTCCAATCACGATGAGCTGATGTGCAACTTCTTTGCGCAGGTTGGTGCAACTCATGCCCTCGGCTTCAAGGAGAAGGCTTTTAAGTTTCGGGCTGAAGGAGTTCGGCGCAAACTGTAGTTGTCTGCAGTTTGGGTTGGTCTGTGTCGTATCTGGCATTTCAGAAGGCATTGCCAAGCATTACTCACTCAGCAGTTGCCCAAGAAGTCCCCTTGCTGTTCGGTAGAGTTGAAAATTTTGGCGGTCGGCGCTCTGTAGTAAAAAGCAATACACCTAAAGGTAAATTCTATGGCTTGGAGATCACTTCAACATCGAGGAGATTATGTTTGAACCAGCGGCAGCTTGCCGACACCTGTCGGCAAAGTCGCTGGTGCCATCCCTGCGCCCCGCAGGCTCACAAAATTTTGCACAAACAAGAGCAGCGCAATCGCGCAGATTACTAGATATCTGCAGAGACTGCGTTGCAGAATAGAGCATGGCCACATTTTCAATCATGTGTGGGGCTCAGGGTTTCCGTGCTCGTGTTTCTTTCCGATGTGTGGACATTGATGCATTCTTGGGGCATGTCGCCCTCTGCCGCCTTGCCTGTGCCAGTACTTGCCTTGTCCTTTGACCGAAAACAGCCACAGCAGTCATGGAACACGGATGGCCCAGATGACGCTGCGCAGAACGCGGCGTGCTTCTTGGCCACCCAATTGCAACAGACAAAGAGTCTCGTTCCTCTTCACCAAATGCGCCAAATGTGGGCGCCATCTCCTTGCGGGCGCACGAGCAGCCCTTTCTCACGCTGTGGCAAAGGTGTCCAAAGCGCTGGATCATAGACAGGCGCACATCTGATCTGCAGCATTTGCGTCCGTTCCTTTTCCGCAGGCAGACGCCTTGGCGTACGGGAAATCTGCGGTTGAGCTGCGGGCGGAGAGCGTCCCCGATCACCTCATCCCTCACCGTTCCTTCACGGGCAACAGGCCTTCCCTGTCCATAATGCTGCCGGAACTGTCAGCCTACCAGGTGGGACAGATACTGTCGCTGTACGAGCACAGGGTGGCGGTACAGGGATTCATCTGGGGGCTCAACTCGTTCGACCAGTGGGGCGTCGAGCTGGGCAAAGTCCTGGCCAGCAAGGTAGGCAGGGGCACAATTCCACAGTCCCAACCTGCCTTTGAAAGACGGCAGAAAGTCCTGAATTGGAGGAGGGGAGTGGCACCAACAGCGGCAAGGGTTGACTCATTTGACAGAAAGCAAATCTTGCCAAGCATCGGGCAATTCCGTCGGACGGTTTTGTCCATCCAAGTCACGTGCTTATCCATGTCATTATATCCAGGATGTTGTGTCCATATCGTATTCGATATCCAGCATATGGTAGAGGACGCTGGAACCCATATTCTGGTCCAATATGCGGGGTATGGGACTTGTTGCCAAAGCTTCCTTGTCAGGAACTGAGTGAGGCTCTATTTCTCAATACGAGGGAGGATGATGCTGACGCCTCTTGAGGGCAAGACGGGGCAGCGGGGTCGATTCCAAACCATTTGAAGGGATTTTTGATGTGCACAAACACGCACATAACGCACCGCGCTTGTGCGGAACAGAAACACATATGTGTGAGACGGGGTCTTTGTGTAGCGGTTGCAGCGTCCTGGGCCAAGCGCTTGCCCTGCTGCTCTTCAATGTTGTGGCTGGCGCTATCGGTGACGACTTGACAATGGCGGCAAGGGTTGACGCAGTATTTGGCGCACAATAGCGAATATTAACTTTGATAGTCAATGGCACAGAGCACCCATAAATTCTTGCCTGCATTGTGGGCCCATGCGCTCAGAAAACGTTTGCGCAGTGCCGCTGGGGAGAAACCTTGTCACCGTGCTAACGACACTTCTTGAAAAGGCACTGTTATGGCGCCAGGTTCTGGTCATAGGGGTCGCCATGGCCTGGATTTGTCCACAACGCCAAGAAAAGATGGGAATCTTGAGCACTTTATTTTCCGTCTTGCCATGCTGCAGGACGCTTCATTAAATGGTGGTTTTGATGGATTGACTGACTCATTGATTGCCTGATTGGCTGATCTATGGACCTAGTCACGCAAACATCCTCAAACTTGGTGACGGTTCTGAATTGCGCTCTTTGGCAGGTGCGGCAAAAGATGCACGAGACGCGGACAGACAACCGCAAGATCAACTCAGCGGACGCGTTCAACCTGTCCACACAGACCATGATCAACAGATACCTTGAGGGCAAGGACGTCATGAAGTATCCCGAGCCACGTGACGTGTTTCCTGGCGACCTTCTGAAACCCAAGGAATGATCGAGGCAGCAGACGCGTTCGCCCGTGGCGCAGATGCAGGGACGGTGAAGCCAGGGGCTTCGCCGCACTGGCTGGGACATTGCCATTTGGTGCAAATCTCAGCGACCGGCTTGGCTACGTTTGAAGCCGGCCACTCCCGGAGGCCTGCTGCGGGCGCCAGCCGCCAGGGGCGGGAAGTTTCTTGTCACAAACCTCACCGCTCTGCTGAACATGTTGCACAGTTTTGCCAGGCAGTCCAGTGCTGCCAACGAAATGTAAGATTCTCCTTTGAAAGAAGACCCAGCGACTTCGCGGCAGGAATTGTCAACGAAGCAGGAGTCGCCAATATGTGTTGCTCTGCAAAGCTTTCCCGTCTGAAGCTCGGACTCTGAAGTGGGGAATGACTGGCAGTTTGCGTGTACGCCATTGTCCGAGCTGGGGCAGTTACAAGTGCTCTGCGAGAGCCAAAGCGCCCGAATGGGGCCTGCCCCCTTTGAGAATCTCTCTCTTGGACGCCTCGTCGACAATTCGATAACCAAATGGAAGTGTGGGGACCGGCTGGGGTTCACCAAGCTGGAGGCCCGTCAGAAAATTGACACGGGACAACCAGTAAGGGCATCATTGAGCCCCCAGGATTCTCGATATCTGGTGCTCCACGTCGCCGTCGTGCATCGGTTGCGCTACTGTCTTGTGCAGTGCCGACTTCTTGCCAAACGGACTACAACAGTATTTCCACATCCGTCCCTTGTTTCAGGGCCACCCACATTCCCAGGCCATGTACAACGACAAACCACCAAAGATCTTTTACAAGGAAGCATCTCCTCCCAAGGTCAGGGTTTCAGGCAGGCACACGCAGAAATGGGCGCAAGCGGTGTATGGGCGCAACGTCAGAGCCTCCCTACGGCCCTTCAACCCAAATGCACCCGCAGAGGAGCCCCTCAGCACCAGCAGAACGCCGCCGGCGCTCCAGCACTCCACACAGCACCGCCTACCACGGCAGGTCCCAATCCCCAAACCCACATTTCCCGCTCCCCCCCTCACACCAAGCCTAGGGCCTCCCACCCATATCTCCCTTAAACGTCAGGAGGGAAACGAGGGATGTGGCCTCCATTGTGCATAATTCATTTTGCCCCCCTCACGCCAACCTGTTCAGCCCCAGTACGGCTTCGTGCAACGAACTGGCCCCCGCCCTGCACACCGCCCTCAGCGCCAGGCGCGTGAGCGCCACGCTGCACCCCCTGTCGCCCGTCAGCGCCACGCAGCCCCCTGGCGCCCCCTCCCATAACCCCTCCTCCCTCCGCGCCAAGTCTGGACCCACCGAATCCCAGGCGCCAATCCCGTCATACTCGCCGGCGTCCACAACAACGCACTCAACCCCCGCCCTCGCGCACGCCATTAGCACTTCCCTGGCGTCCCAGGTCCTGCCCCTTGCCGCCAGCACCAACCTGAGCAGAGGAGTGTGCTTCACTTGGGTGATTTGTATGGCTCTACATACCGTAGCATATTCTACCCTTCCGTGTCAAAATAAGTTGCCATTACGCTTTTTGCTTTCGCCCTTTTTCAAGAGCACAATTTATTTTTTTATGTCGCTCCGCAATTTTACTATTTTTCTCTGGAAAAAAGGCCAAGCTTTACGCTATAATGCGAAAGGGCTGAATATTTCGCAGTAGAGGAGGACAATGAGCACACGAGTGAGAAGTACACTGGGACAAATAGTGGACATGCTGTTGTTACGTGGTTTGCTGGTGACGCAGCCCCCGTTAGCAGACATGCAATTAATGGAGTTTCATTTTCATCACTGACCTGGACACCCCGGCGGACCTTAAGGCCCAGGGGTCTCGAGCGCACGCCAGTGACACCAGCAGGGAGTCCCAGGCAAGCCTCGTGGGTTGGTTGTTCAGCCGCCAGCCGTCCAGGCGGGGAAGACTAAGGTTTGGCGTGTCCCCCTCCGGCGCGTCTTCATCGGGGAGGGGGCCGTCCGGACAGGGGGAGAAAGGGGGCAGAGAGCCGTCGGCCAGCAAGGCCTCCACGCGGGCCACCACGGAGGCGGCGGTGGGCCGGCAGCGCTGCTCTCTCACCAGCATGAAGTCCAGGAGCTGGAGGACTTGGCGGCGGCAGCCAGCGGGCAGCAAACTGCGGGACGGGGGAGAGCGGGGCATCAGGCACAATGGGGTTGGTGGGGGAGATGTCAGGGAATCCTCAGAGCGTTCGTGGCCGGTACATGGGAACAAACTTCTGAGAACGTGGGCGATACGACCAAATGAACTCTTGAGCCAAATGCAGATGCGGCGGCAAAACGTGGGGTGTGGGAACAGTGCAAATGGCCGTCTTGCAAAAGGGCAAAGTTCAAGCGACAACGAGAAGGGAGGCGCGCTTCCGCGGCGCATCCTTCTGCTGGGAGGCACCTTGGCCGGCCTGTTCGCCACCGCGGTGGAATGGGCGCCCGTCATGGCTAGGCGCAAGTCCATGTTCTGCCAAACTTACCGCATTGTGTTCAACTTTTCTGCATCGAAAATTTTATCGTTACGCTTTTTGCTCAGCATATTTTTCAGAACGTCGTTTAATTGTTTTTATGTTGCTTCAAAAGATTTTATTAATCTTCTACGCAAAAACGCCCAAGCGTTACGTTGCTATGCGGAAGGGTTGAGTGTTTCACGACTGATATCCAATGACAACAGCACTATACTGCAGCGTCATCGACGGCCGCGGCATCGTCTCCCGAGACATTGCCACGCCTCCACAAACGCTCATCACGATACAGGCGCCAGCGCGACGGCCTGAGAGGTTTCGGTACAGTGCCCAAGGAGACGCGCATCTGGCACCAATGGCTCTGCAACCGCTGACAAGTGACTCACCACCCTGGGCGCGATTCGTCAACCCCACGAAGGGAGTTGTGCAATCGCCTCACCTCGCCTTGTCCTCGCCAATGACGCCCATCGCACCGCCTCCGTCGGAAATATCCCCCCTGCAGCCCGTCACCCTGCTGTAGAACTTGGCCCAGTTCTTATCGTATTGCAGGCTCTTGCTGGTGACAAGCTCGAATAGCATGCAGCCCAGGGCCCAGACGTCGCCCGCTGCACCGGCGCCATGGGTCTCCCTGCGATCAAACTCCGGCCCCTCCCGCTTTTGGGCCTCCGCGATTCTCAACATTTCCGGAGCTTTGTTGTACTCCGTGCCCCTGCTGCGGCATGCAGACATGTTGGAAAAGGCACAGACGTCTGATACCCTTCATTTCCTGACATGAAGTCGTGAAGGTCGTGAAGCTCATGACGGTAATGAAATCAATAAGTTGTTTTTGTTCCTGCAGTGTTAATGGTTTTCAATTTTTTAGGTCCCTAGTGCCCTTCATGGCCTTCATGTACGGAAATGATGACCATCGTACAATCCCAGGAAAAGGTGAAGGGCGGCATCAACGAGGAGCGCCAGCGAACGTTGTCGGATAACGTCATGTGTTTGTGGGAGTGGGGCAAGTTGGCCCGTCAAGCGGCGCGTAGGCCGCTGCACTGTGTTGGCGAACGAACAGAAACTCAACGCGGTTCTAGTCCCGCCAGGTACTGTGCGATTGGAGCATCGTTGCGCAAGTGGTTCAACTTGAACGGAACAAGCCCCCATACCTGTTTCTCACTGTCCAGTCCACGTCCTTCCCCTTGTAGCACCTCGCCTCTCCGAAATCCGCGAGGATGACACCAAAGGGCAGCCGATCGTACTTTGGGGCCCAGAATTCCGCCTCGCTGACGCCGGGCACCGGGTCCAGCAGCACGTTGCTGCACTTGATGTCGAAGTGGACGATCTGCTGGTTGTGCAGCTGCTGCACGGCCTTGGCAGTCTCGTGGAAGATGCGCAGGAAGAGGGAGATGGCCCAAGGGCAGGAGAGGGGCAGGCGCTTCCTCCAGATCTGGGGCGCACGCCAGAGCGCCAGTTATGGAAGGCACCAAGCAACGAGTTTAGGATTGCACGATTCTGTCATCTCATACCCGCTGTACCGCTGCTGGTGTCCATCTTTCAGTAGGTCGGCGATAATTCAGAGAAGAAGCCATTTGACTTAAGTACTTTCCGGCTTCGACGGACGATCTGCAGTCCCCGCTCCCCTTATGAAGGCTTTGGTTTTGATGTAAAGTTTGAGGCAGTGCATTGCCCTATGCAGTCGCATTTGCTGCCTCTGTCAACGCCTCCCAATGCAGCCAAAAGAACTGCCCAAATGCATTCCAAGTATCCCAGTACGCCTCCGAGCACTGAAACAGAAATGGAGCACATTTAATGGTGAATATCCTTGGCCCAATATTGCGGATGCGTTTCCACTTCGTTGACCAAATCTCCGCCAGCATGGGATGGACACATGATGTCTCTTTGCTAGCTCTACCCGTAAACTGAGTCCACAACTTGAATTCGTAAAATTTTGCCTAGTTTCCACCCACTTTCCTGCTAACCACTCTGATGCCGGCAAAGAGAACACACCGCCCGCCGCGCCGCGCCCCACCTCTAGCGAGCACTTGTAGGACTTCATGGAGATGAAGGCGGAGTCGCTGCAGACGCCGTAGTCGTACAAGTGCGGGAAGCGCGCCTGGCCTCTCAGCTCCTCCAGGATGGACACCTCAGAGAAGATGTCCAGCAGGGGGACGTGCTGCGAGGGGTCGCTGGGGAAGTCCAGCACCTTCACTACGCAGTCCTGGGGGCACAGACCGCCGCCCAGTTGGCAGCGATGCACCTGCGACTTGTCCCCCTTGTGGATTCGGGTCTTCCTGCCGTACAAACTGGCGTCGAAGAGGGAGCAGCGGAGGAGGCTGGGGAAAACAATGGCACACACGAGATTTGCGTCCTTGGGAGTCCCTGAGGCAATCGCAGCCCGGACTTGGGGCGGCAACATCGAACGTTGAGATTGCTGGCGTGCTGGAATGGGCAGCCAGCGAAGGGCAATGAAAATGAACAAGGAAGGAAAACAGGGTGGAGGATTTTGTTCAAAACTTGGTTGCACGCTGTTCCATACTTGGAGAATGTGTCGAGCCTTTACCTCCAAATAAATTTCAAAATTTCAATTGATTTTATCGGAATAGTTGTATTATCGGTTTTAGTCACTTGACGATAGTCGGATTCATGCGAGTAGTCACCGCCAATGGTAATTTTCGTCCAACCAAGCCCCATCAACATGTTTCTGGGATTCGTGGGCATTCGCTTTGCTTAGCGCACGCCACAAGATCACAGATGAACGGCACACAGCGCGTGCTGTACATCTACCGTATTTACATGGTATTAGTAGGCACCCCCTATGAGAGGGCCAACGGCGGCCAGTCGACCATGTGGCCTTTCGCGGGCCCCCTTCCAAATTCTCCTTCTACAGCATCCACCCTGAACCGATTGCCCCCGTAGACATGCGAATCGCAGGGAACGCGGTTTGGTCCAGACGGGGCAATGCGGTCCCACGCCAGCCGCCGACTTCCTTTGCCACCGCGCCTTCGCTCGTTTCTATCTATGTTTTGGGGGTAATACTAACACCGGGTCGTGGACACTAACGTAGTTTCGACCCCCAAACAGTGGGGTGGATAGTAATAGGGGCTGCCTACTAATACCAGGTGAATACAGTAGTTAGCGAGCGGAGCCCTGTTTGGTGCGCACCACGCTTCCGAGCAAATGTTATACTAACCTAGTATTTCAACGGAGGCACAACTGCTCTATCCTCAAGATTGCACTCACACTTTACTCCAGATGTTGTAAGTACAATTAGCTGCACATTAGCAAGAAATTGAGCAATTTAGAATCAGGCAACTGCGTTCCTGGCTTAGCAGGGGCACACGTGTGTCCAGTGCAATTATGCGTGCTGCATCAGGTCCCCCGCCCACCACATCAATCTCCAAGACGACGGCCTGTACTGCAGCCGATGGGCCTTTAAACCATCTGCGGCTTCCTCATTTGCGGGGTGGTTGATATACCTGCGTGGGTCGCATGCAAACCAGAGTCCGTGATTTGTCGACCTTTCATTGATAATACAAATCCAAACACGATCGAACGTTCACACATGGGGATGGCACTGCTTGTGCGATGTGTTGTTGCCTTTTCATGCTGCCTGGCTGCGCCACCCATCCATAATACATGACTGACAAAATTGAGAGAGCAGAGAAGTATGCGCTCAGTGCTCAGCACTCAGTACTCGCTTTTGGTACACAGATGGGGCAAGTCTGCAACGCGTAGCTTGTTTCCTAGTTCGGCACAGGACGCCAATGCCATCAGTAGGCTTTGATAACATAAGGACATCAAAGGGTTTTCTTATATTATACTTTTTGCCTACATGGCACTCTATTTCAGCATTTCGGGTCCTGCGATTCTTGGCACACTAACTGCCAAAGCCACAACACATTCATCACAGACTGCAGCCCCAATTGGATGCCGTTGAGTACCTGTATAGATGCAGGCCAACGTCAGCGAGCAGCTGCTGCAGCTCCGCCCTCTCCTCCTCCCCCAGCACATCCTGCTTGGCCTCAACCAAAAGCAAGAAGTCCAGCAGCACTTGCACCACCACCATCTGGAGCCTCACGTCGCCATGCAGAGGGTGGCGTGACGGGCCCAAACTGGACGAGCCGGCCGACGGGTCCGACCGTACCATGACCGCGTCGCTTGGCAGAGATGGTTGGGCGTGCCCTGTGCCAAGCAACGCAGCGCGACGGTGCCAGTCTCATTCAGTGTATGGGGTCTGCCGCTGGGAGCGCTTTTGGCCTTTCACAGGCACAAAGCTGAGGCGCAACGCTTCCTAGTTGTGTTCAGTGCAATGTGAGCAACAAGCAACAAAGCGAGACATGGCTATACTGTCGACATTGTTATCATCGTCATCACCATCATCATTATTATTACCGCTATTGCTATTATTTATTATTATTATTATTATTATTATTATTATTATTATTATTATTGTGTGTATTGTTGTTGTTTATATTATCATTGTTAATATTGTTATTATTGCTCTTCTTCTTATTAATATTATTACAAATCTCTTGGACACATCGTTGATGACTGTTCATTGAACTGGTTCTGGTCCTAGCAGTCCAAGCAAACATGCCAATGCTGCAGCTTTTCACGTCACCGGGCAGGGCATTCTTCCGGGTGAATTATACATATGCACGTGCCATGCAGCATGGTGTGGGGCCAACAGCTTCCGTGGAAGCTTTTGTTTACCAGAATTTCGAGTCCTGAACAAGTGTTCCAGTCAAGGTGTCACAGCACAACAGCGATGCCACTGGAGGCAGACTTGATTTGGCTGTCTAATCGCTCGCCCCTCGACTTGAGGGCACAAGGGGATTGTTCTCCCAGTGACGGGCAGGAAATCCAAGGAGGCAAAAGAAGAACGCATGTGTGCATCACAACAGCGTAACCCACAAGAAGTTGTGCATGGCAGGTGCCGCTACTGACTTCAGATAGTCAGACAGCACTAGCTTTCCTACTGGTCCTCAAGGGCTCCACAACGCTCGGCGAGCGACCACCCTGAACCCCGCGCCGCAGATGCACGCAGAGCACATCCCCTCGAAAAAGGGAGTGCTTACCGGTTCCAGAGGCTCCTTCGCCAGACTCTAGCGCGCCGTTAGACTTTTCCATGCCCCAGAGGTTGAGGCTCGGCACGGGTGGGCGGCCCCGCTTCATTTCGGCCTCATGGCCGTCGGGGTGCAAGTCGTCGCATGAGGACTCTGACTCAGACGCGTCGCCGAATTCTGATCCCGTGGGGCTGACTTCCGATAGCAACGGCACGGGCTCGATGCCGTGCTGAATGCTCCATTCCCTCCTGTCCATTTCTTCCAAAATCTCCAAGTTGCGGGCGTCCTCGTTCAGGTCACCCGAGTACTTGAAGGTGGGCGGGATCTTGAACTCGTACCCAGCGTATTTGTCCGTGGGTTGTACATCATCACTGGTGCACACATCGCAGAGGAGGGATTACTCATAGTACCAGGAAACAAAACTGCTGGGTGGTCATTTCTGACTGGCCTGCGCCACACGGCAGGATGACTGCCGAGGAATGTAGGGCCACACATTGCACAAGGGGCATCCCCCGCACGGCCACAAAGGAATGAGACACTGTGCCATACTGTGGCCATCATTCAGGCACCGAGCGCAGCAGGAGGAGGGCGAAAATCCATGGTGCTGGAGTAGTGCAGGTCATTGCCAGCAAAATAAACGCAAAAGAAGGAAACAGTGATCGTATCCATTATTGCAATGTTGAAATAACGATGCTGCAACCATTTGGAAGCACAGCTTTTCTCCAGTGATCTTCCAAAACCTCACAATGCATGGAATAATACCAAAGGCAAGGACATGGCATTTGACGGCCCAGAGAGAGCTCCGGCTACTTGTACACTCATCCGGCGTGATTGATGCAAGGCTAATGAATGGGACACATGCACCAAATTTTCGACAACAGTCACGTGGAAATACTGAAGTCCATGCCCCAGTCTCAGTGCAGATGCTGCTTTTTCCAGCTCAGGTGCATAGAAAGACATCAACAGCAGTCAACCAGACACAGCAAGCCAAAGCTGTTGGTCAGAAAAGGCACCATGCTTCATCGTCTAAGCAACTTCAGAGACTCTCCCCATCAACTCAGGAGCGGATGGCATTCGTGAACATGACGTGTCCTCGCACCCTCAAGGTAGTTATGGGTGCATAGGCATCAAACACATGATCGTCGCTTCCCCGCGGAAACACACATCCAAACGTCAAATAGGCGCAAGAATGGCAGCAGTTGTCGTGATACCAAAAAATGCAGTCAACGCGGAGAAAAAGCAAAGACACCCAAAACACAGTTCCGCTGAGCTCTACGCACTTGGCATTGGTGTCATTCACAGTTCCAGAGCTTTTCACAGTCCCCGCCAGCACTTCTCTTTCCATGGCCGCCAGATCAAAGCTTTCTTCTCTGGAGTCATCCACTGTATGTGGGGTTGTCGACAGGCAGAGGCCCGCGGCATCGTCAAGCGGGTCTGCGCCAGCCTCAGCACCAGCACCTGACGTCATGAAACAAATTCACACGGGTGCTGTCCCTCAGACTGAACTTTGGACTGAATTTTGATATGCTGAAGTCTGGAAGTACGGGGCGATGGGCAAAAGCAAACTTAATGGTATGTCTCAATCCCTTTCAATATGCGAGGGTATTGCTTTGCTCCGTGAAGCGAGCGCAATTCAGATTCTGTGCTCATGCAGTGACTTTCAAGCAGGAAAGAATGTGGCAAGGTCAAGCAAAGAAACCTGCTCTGTGCAGATGAACAAGGTCGCTCTTGGTAACTATTCACAACACGCGTTGACAATGAGCCAGCCAAGTGAACTGCATGGAAAATCTGTACGGGGCGGGCTGAGATGAGTGCTAATCCAGTTGCACTCGGAAGTTTCTATTTTTCATATCGCCCGGCTCGACATTTCGAAATCCTGTGTCTCTTTTTAGGACGTGTAGTCCTCGGCATTCTGCCCAATGCGGGTTGCCTTTTTCTTGCTAGACATTGTGTGTTTCGAGGGGCTGCAGGAGCAGGGGATTGGGCAGGGCTGTGGCGGAAGAGGTGGAAAGGCAAACCTTTTCATCGTTCAGAGGCCGTATGTAAACACGGGTGTTGGAGGTGATCAGCAAGACATGGGGCTGGCAGGCGCGTTTTAAAGGATGGCGGGTGCACAATCATCGTGCGACCCATGCCCCCTCCACAGGGACACAGACACGCTGCCCTTGGGGAGCCCTTGAAAAGCGTCCACGTTGACTTTGTTGTAATCGCACTGCCCAGCGCGGTTGTAGCCCGCCTCTGCTCACCACTGCACGAGCATGGCCTGGAGAGGCCCTGAGGGCACAGGCTATTGTCGGGATGATGTGTTGGAAACGGTTGTATTGCTATTTTGCTTGCTTTGTTGCATAGCTCTACATGAGCGTCGCCTTTGTGTCTGGTCGATCGGCAAACAAGGGGTAAACGTTGCGCCGCTCTGCCTACCATGGTGTTGTAATCTGAGGCTGCAAGCCCCGCTGCAAGTTTTATGGCTGCTCTTTTAGCAGTTTTCTTCGGGGATTGAGACCACGCTAACTATTGAAGGACTGTAGACTTTCTGAAAATACTACGACACTGATGGGATACATCTGCTCGGAGATTTTGAGTCATTTTCAAAACATGGAAGGACGTTCCAAAACAGCTCGCCGGGGAGGGAGGTTGCCGGTTGTATTGCAAACTTTCCTTTCTTGAAGTGCGACAGCTGCATGGGGCACGGATCACACAATAGAAGACACGTGAAACGTTTAAGCCAATAAGGGTGCAGTGTCCACCCGCTATCCCCCCCCCCGGGTTTCCAAGCCACGCTAGTCTCAAGGGCACGGCGCCAGTATCCACTCCAAAACACTCAGCGAAGGTCGCTGATCTTGTCTCCAAAAGGGGATTCCAGTTGCACAACACTGTTGAGGACGGGTGCGACCCTTCCCCAGTACAACAAGTACTGGAAAAGTTCTGGCCGTGCAGAGCCATCGTGATGCGTTTATTCCTCGCAATTACGCCCATTTTTGATCAATGCGAAAGGAGGGCCGGTGACCTGCGTGTCCTGTACCGGTTGACATCTGTCTTCGTGACACAAGAAAGGATTCATCGAGCCCTCGTGAGGGTTTCTGTGGCTTTGGAGTGGAATGGATGCTGGCAGAGAGTGGTCACGAACGTTTTCTGTGCTTGAAGATGGCAATCTGTGGTTGCGTTGGTCCAATCAATGACAATTTGGAGTTTTCGCTGTCGCGATGTCGGAAGCGCTGCACCTGTCTTTGTTAACTTTGCTACCTGTGCAATGTATTTTTTCGTCAATTCTATTCCACTTCAGCAATTTCCTGGGTTTGGTTTTCAAAACTCCCTATCCGCTCCTTGTATTAGGGTTGCACACTATAGTTGTATCTATGGCCCGATGTCAGCAACCGCCGTTTCGTTTTGCATCGCTTGACAAGCGATGCCACCATGTGAGTCCTTTTCAAGGATATTAATGCTGAGAAATACGCAGCGCTCGAAAACTCCACATGAATGTCAATATAAGGGTGATGCATCACAAGTGAAGGTCCCACTGTAGCAATTCCGCATCTGCTGGAACCTCCTTTCATGTTAATTTGAATATCCACCTTGGCAAATCGCTGTGCAGTGCACGAACCTGCAGAACAAAGGTGGTCTGGTGCATGTCCACAAACTCCTTCAACAACAGCACATAGCCCTTGAGGGTGCTGATCGAAAATCAAACAAGGATGCCCCAACATGTCAGGAACAATGCAAGCCACGCAACCATGAGGCGACATTTGAAAGCACCGTGCTTCCATTAAGCTCATGCTTCCGCAGCTTCCACAGTTCCTTACATGCGGGCACTGGCCAATCCACAAATCGTTTGAAAACAAACCTGCGCCATCTGCGATGCTGGCTTCCTCGCCTCCAGAGGAGTCACTTCCACTCAACAGGGCTGTGGCCGAACGATTTCTCCAATCATCCTCCTTGGGCCCAGGCACGCAGTCTTCACCCAGACTCTCCCCGATCGCCATGGGTGCCCTGCACGGAGAAGCATAGCTCCTGTCCACCGATCCCAGGCCTCCCGGTCTCTGGCAATGCCTGTTGTTTTCTCCCTCATCTTGGCTGCTGGGTACACAATTGGCATCCAGGTTTTGCCTGATCGCCACGGATGGAACAATGGCAGAGTCGTTGCTAAGCACAAGCACAGCCTCGACATTACATTCTGCACCTTCTGTGCTGACCCCCTCCAGTGCTGGTGGTGCTGAGCCCTGTGACTCAAGCCCCTCGCCGACAGACACCTGCCTGAGCACATTCAAAATTTTCGCTGAGAGTTGCCCATTGGATGCTTTTTCTTCCAGTAGCGGAACAGAGCAAGGTACAAAACCAAAACAAGGTTCATAACCACGGTACAACATGGGAAACCAGGCAGAACCAGTGCTGGAGAGGGTTGAAGAGTGAGGTGAGTAAACACCTGGGACAAGTCAGCCATGTCTTGCCTGAGTGGTTGGCAGTCAGACTCCATCCAGCGGACCTTGCCCAGCTGTGCATCATCAGCGCTTCCCAGCCGTTGGCAGCCCGCTGCATCCTCAAAAGGTGGCACTTCGTTGCACAAGATTCCTTTACCATAAAACCCTGGAATGCAGCCATCTCTGCCCACAGGGTTTGCAGGGCGGTTTGGAAGTGGGGTCATGTCGTTGCGACCCCCGTGCAGGGTCAGCGATGAAGCCACATCAGGGGGCAAGGGGGGAGAGTTCACAAGCTCAATGAATGGTGTCCTTGGAGTCGTTGTGTCCTCTGACGTTGGTTCAGAATCCTGAAGTTGGAATGTCAGCTGGTTACATCTATGCCCTGGCAATTAATCGCCCTGTGCATGATATTGTGAGACCAGTGTCATCAAGCTTGGTGCCATGGCAAGGCGAGATCATGCGTGCAACTAATGTGCATGCAGAACTCGACCATCTGAGGTCATAACTTATCGTCAAGGCACAACTCTGTGGTGCAATCGGGGTCCACCGATCACTGGAAGTCAATCGCTGGACTCATTCAGTGCTCGTGGCAAGCCGCCCTGAGCACCTTGCTCTTTGTCTTGTCTGCTGTTGCCTTCACGCAGAGGCTGTGCTTTGCCGTGTCTGGGATATGCAATCGATAAATGCAGGAATTGAATTTGGGCGTGCAGTGCTGTTTTCAGCTGATTGCAATCCATTCTTGTTGAAGCAGTTTCATGCCTTACATGATCGCTCTCTGTCGGCTCAGGTATGTTTGGCCATGGCCTCCTTTGGTACCATTGATCCGCCTTCAGCCATTGCTGTTGGTCGTGCGACCCAGCCCTCTGCAGGTGGCCCAGTCGTGCTATTTCTTGCACCAGGTACTGAGGCATCTTCAGGCTCAGAAACTTGAAGAGTGTTTCACGTCGATGGTTATGCAAGGCCGACACCACAACCTGCACAAGATCCAACTCCAATGCGTTTATTGACAGTATTGGTGCATCCAGCATCTGCTGTACTTGCGACATGTAAACCAGGTTTGGTGAACACACAAAACAGTGCGGTATTGTATACTTGCCACATGTAAACCAGGTTTGGTTAACACAAAAAACAGTGCGGTATTGCAAAAGATCACAAATCTACTGAAGGGTGCTCAGAAAGTCATTGGAGCATAGTGGCTGCGGCGCTTTTCTGGCAACAGGTGGTGCTGGCATTGGCTCCTAAATGGCACAAGACAATGCAGTGGGCTGGCTCAGCTCGATTGTGTTAATTTCCATCGTTTTCATGGAAGCAAGGTTGGGACGCGGAGGTGCAGTCATTGATAGCCAACTGATCAAGAACCATGCATGTGTACGGTGGACACTGGGTTGTTGATCTTGCCATGCAAATAAATCCTGCAAAAGTTTCTTGGACAACCTGTGAGAAAGCAATTCTCCACTCTAAGATCGGCCATGAGGCCAGCTGTCAATTTGTACAGGGATTCTCGTTGGCATCTGCTTGAATGGCCAATTTTGGACAATTGCGCACAGTGCCTAAGTTGCCTCATCGGCACCTGAGCAAGATATGGCAACTTCGCCACGGCAATGCACAACACAAAGTTTCCACAGGGCGTGTTGGGCCCACCTCAAGATGTAGTCTGGCTAGTGCCTTGGTGCCTGTGCTCTGCTCCCCCAGTTCATACAGCTGCCTGAACCTCGCACAGTGCAGCTGCAGAAAGTAGCCACTGTCTTCTACCATGGGGCAACCTGGCACTGCCATGCAGGCTGCAAAGAAATGCAGAACCTGCAGGGATGCGCACAGTGCAGTGCCAAGTGTGATGACAATGATGGTCCCTTACAGCACATAACAACAAGGCCATAGCCCAGTCTTCACCACTATTGGCATTCATCTTTTGGTATTTTGGGGTTTCCGTGGCTGCAAGAGGTTGAGGCGCTAGATTTGCCTCAACAGAAGTTCTTCTGTGTCCTGCACTAGTGAATCAACATGGCAAGTCGTTTAACTCCATGCTGCTGCACGCGGAAGATGAGAAGTGCCAATTCAGTGCACCCTCTTCCCTTTCGAGATTTCTACACCATATAACTGGGGCTTCACAGCTATTTTATGCACACAGCATTCAAGTTGTTAGTTTATAAATTTTAAAAAGAAAATGAAGATGCATTGATCAGTATTGACACACCTCAGCATGCAGGCAAAAGCTTGTCCCATCGCTGAAGTCTGCAGCTTCCGGATCAGACAGCACACAGATCCCCAGGCCATTGTATTTCGCGAAGGCGAATGACAATCTGGCCAGTCCATCTCCGTTATTGCAGGATGTCGATGATGTGCTCTTGCTATGTGCTGTGATGCAAAATGCGCAGATTATCTTCTTAACACAGCAGAGCAACAAGGACAAAAGACGAGATCAACAAGACAGAGAAATGAAAAGGTAGGGTCTGACAGAAGCCCAGAAACATAAATCACCAATAGACAGAAGATCAATGAGCACCAAGTCTAGGTAGCAAAGGACCTTTAAAACTTTCTTGACAAGCCAGGTGAATGCACAGGGTGTGCAGCAATATGGGGATAGCAATTGCACATGCACTTGTGAGTGCATGACAGATGCACCACCAGGCGAGTTGTAGTTGGAAATGCATCGATTGTCGGATTCCAGTGATGAACACCAAATTGTTGGCCAATACAGAGGCACCATCAACGGGTTTTGGGTTACACACGAGCTAGGAGAAGGCACCAAAACAAAGAGCACTTGGCAATCATGGACACCACCACTTGGCAGTTACTGTGAGTGTGTGAGTGTGACAGTCACCACTGTGCTGAGAGCTGCGAAGGCATAGGTGCAACGACAGGCTACTGTGTAAGTTCCTGCAGGCACGTAACTACTCAGAGAACATGGTGTACACAAGAACAGCAGTGGTGTTATGCTGCCAATAACTTCACAGCATTTCGTCAATTTCACATTTGTTTCAATATCTGCAACTCTGTCTTACAGTATTTCACATTTTACCAGTTTCGAAAAAGGTGGATAAGCATCACAATGCAAATGCTGGGAAACTTGCTCCCACACTTAATCAGCAGTTGGGGTCAAAACGACTCTACACATCTGAGGGCGGGTTGAACTAGCCCAACTCAAAACACCTGTCTTCTTGCATTGCCTTGCATTCTTTCTTTTGCATTGCTTTTTGTCCACAGGACAGGCGTCTCACCTGCATTGGTGCCATTCCCTGGCTGGACATTACCAAAGCATCGTGCCACACTTGTAAGAAAGCGCCAGATCCCACACTGCAGCTGCCTGCGCTCCCCATGGCTGAACTTCTGGGTGAAATTTGCAACATCCCCAGGGGCCAGGGCCACATGTGCGTACATCTCCACAAGGTCCAGCAACCACACTTGCTGCATCACGTGCTGCGCTGCGCACATGCCAATGCCTTGGTGCGCAAGTCGCCCCAATGCTGTCTCATACAGCTTTAGTAGTGATGCCAAAGCATGGAACAGGGGGGCCCCCCAGAAGGCAAGCTGGCCTGCCCTCTGCAGCATGCCTGCGATCGAGTTGAGTGTGCCTTCAAGTTGGGTCATGATGGCCAGGGACGGGTGATTCGATGGGGAGGCCTCCATGTATGTGATGAGTAGCAGCAGCAACGAGCTGATCATGGCAAAGACGTTGTCATCTGCAGGCACAGGTATGCTGAGAGCAGTGTCAGAGGGGTAAAACACAAGCAACACAATGGAGACAACACATGTTCACACAAGTTGGTATGATAGAGATATGGGACCACGATATACCCCTCTGTTGGCAATGTGCTGCACGTCCAGCAGTTTTGCCATACAAGGCTAAAGCATGTGTGTCGTTTCACTTTGTGTTGATGGACAATGGACCAAGGACAGGCAAATAGCATCCAGACTGTTGGGAAAAGAGGCGCAGCATGGCAACAATCACCTGGGCGCCTCACCCTCACCCAGGAGTCCAACCTCGCCCGAGCAGAAGACAAGAATGGGTCTCTGGCCACTGCCCCAACCCCATGAACTGTGCTTCCCATCCCAACTTTGTCCTTGGATGCCCAGGAGACCGCTTTTGTGCCTGGAGGCAGCTGCTGCAATTCCAGGACGGCTGCGATCCCAAATGCTAACACCTGATCGCCCAGCGGCCTCTGTGGTGAGCCACTGAGCCTGTCCAAGATCTCCCCATCCAGCAAGGGGATGAGCCACTGTGCCCAGCCATCCAGGCTGCTGTGGGCTACCGGGGCCAGCAGCAGAAAACATTCGAAGATGGCACACTTGAGGCGATCACGCATGGGCATCAATTCTTCTGCACTACTGCTGGTCGGCAGTCTGTAGGCCCCCAGGCAGCTGCTGGCTTCCTGCCTGCTGCTGATGCTTGCCACCTGCACCGATTGTGGCCTACCTGCCAGTCATAGGTAGGAAATGCAAAACATTAGTTTAAAGCTGTCTCCACTCAGATTCTGGTGTCAAGGAGAGTATGGAGAGAGCAATACAGACGTTGTGCCCTTATGCCTGTCTTTGGACATAACCATTGCAACAGAAAGCTGCAAGGAGAATGTTGTGCCTCTCGTCTACAAGTGCAGTGAGAGCATTAACACCTTCCAGTGGTTCGATCCTAGCATCACCCATGCCTGCAGACAAGCGTCCTCCAGTTTCTGCCTGTTTGTTGGAGTGGCCTCCAGTGGAATGGCCATCAGGGCGATTCTCCTTGCCTCCCAGCCTGCCACAGCCGATGCCCACATCGGTTTTCTGCTCAAAGTTGTCACGAGACTTGCGGCTGGTGTTAAGGGCTGCAGCATCGCTGGGGGATCTGTCCAAGAACTCATGAAGCACACCCGGAACAGGGTCCTTGGGGGTGGTGTCCCTCACTTCACACAGGCATGAACTGCAAGACACAGCAAGTGTGATTGTTAAGGGCACCGATGAGGAACAGTACAGCACGGAGGATAAGATCAAAAAAGTCAAATTCATTGTCAAGGACGCAAGCATGGGTTGCTGCATGACATGCACAGATGTTCAGAATGGAATGTATGTAACATGTGACTACATTTAATGGTTGGAAATCGATTACAAAATTTGACTATTTACACATTGAATGTATTAGGTTGGCTGATGCAAACTGTGTCCCCAATATCAGGCAGTCCGATGGCAGCTTCACTGCAGTCTGTCCTTAATCGATGGCCGCACATTTGTAAGGGCCGGGCAGTGTGCCCCATCTTCTCAGATCTTAGTGCATTGGCAGCGGCAACGATTTCGTGCCATATTGGCCTGCACTTCATGTGACTTGAAATTATTGCGCCATGATGCCGGCGTGTGGCAAATGAGCTCAAGAAGGACTTGCCACGAAGACAGGATAAGGCATCCTAAGTTGCAATTCCTGTGCCTGCTTTTTTTGCCTTCTCAATGCGAAGTTGAGTTGCTGGCCTGCTTTGGAGCACATAGTGCAGTTAGCAGATTTCGGACAGAATCCATCTTGCATTCGTCTTGCAATGTTAACGGCACCTTGATCTTGACACAGGCACCACCAGGCTCTGTTTCGTCAATCCTGTGCACCCCAGGCAGTGACGTAACACTGGCGTGAGGTCCAAATGGGGTACAGCCCCCCTATTTTGATTATCATCCTCAAACTTGCTGCACGATTCGCGGTTGATAGGCGAATCCTGCAAGTCAGTGCCAACGAAGCCCTCTCTGACTCTCTCCAATGGTTCATTGTACAGATCATCGATCAATTCCTCATCTGCATCTTCCACACTATCTGGAGGCTGTGCAGCTGATGCGTCCTGCAGCCTGTAGATGTCCTCCCCCAGGAGGACCATGTACTGCGCTGCTAGCAGGGCAGGCAGTCCGAAGCAGATTGCTGCCTGGAGAGGACGTCATGTTGGTGAGTTCATCGCGATCTGATTTACTGAGGCATTTGCTGCATTCAGGGTGGATGTATCTGAGCTTTAACACTTGTATTGCTTTCCCATCTTAGTTTGTGCCTGAACTTTGAAGGCTGTGGCATGCTGTCCCTGTTGCCCAGCATATTGTGGTACTGCCCCGATGTGAGAACAAACAGTGTATGGAGGACAGCATGCATGTCTCATGTTATTTGTGCCCCATTGGCCACTTTTGCTGATGGCACGAAGGGTGCAGAAGTGTTCTCAGTTGCCTGTGCTATTGCAGAAGGCCACGTGCCATGGTGCCCTTCCTGGTGTGGCCAATGCGAACAGTATCGGAGTATACCCAACCAGCCTTCAAAGACTGAAACAACCAAAATCTATATGCATCCCAACTGAACTCGTTGCCAATACGTCTCTATTTCCATTGGTCCTGGAATGGCCCAACAAAGGCCTACACTGTTGCAGAAAGTGGCCAAAACTCAAGGAGCCAAACTGGCCACCAATCTGCACCTACAAACTTGCAAACGATGCATGACAACTGTAAACTTTTGCTATAAACTCCAGGAAGTCTCAAAAAGAAAGGTCTGAACACCCACTCAGCACCCATGGCTTGAAGCTGTGCATGTTGCCGCTGTTTGCAACCTCAGGCTGCAGCAACAGGTGTTGCATGTTTCAACACCTTTGGATCAGGCCACGCTCAAGCTCCCTGCTGCCTTCTACCAAATGAACTGAAGCAGCATCCCAACAAACGTGGCAACAGTGGTGTTCAGTGTGATTTTGTTGGTACTGCTACTGCAAGGTGAGTGCTGTTCCACATTGTGACAGTAGCAGCTTGGTCCTGCATTTCTAAGATGTTGTCGGCAATTGTGGTTTAGTTGTCCGTTCAGCCTCCCCCAACAATAGAGTGCTCGGTTGTTGCTGTTGCCATTTATCAAACCGCAAGGAGTACCAGGTGCAATACATGTGATGTAGTATCAGATGGCAACAAAATCGTGTCACCAGGTCCAAACATAAGGCACGATACCAGGAACATATCAGGTGCCACATGAAAGGTGCAACATCAGGTGCAATATCGCAGTATTGCAATCAGCGACTCCGCCCAGCAGTTGAGAAGCCAACAAAAGGCATTCGCACCTCTTTCACACAATGCAGTTCCAGCGTGCTTAGCAGCAGATGCTGCACTGCCAATGGTGCTGTGGCCCCACACTCCCTCTCGGTCTCTCGCAGCACCCTCCACACAGCCTCGACAAAAGTGAGCAGGTGGTGGCAGTGGGCTGGCAGAGGTATCATAAGCAGGCGGGCTGTCTGGCAGGCCAGCTTGAGGACAGGCGAGCGCACGTCCGCATAAAGCATCGACACCACAAAAACCAGTGCAGGGAGTGCACCATGTTGGAGCCAGATGCAGGACCAGTCCCTCCAAAAACAAAGCACAAATGCTTATGGTTTGTTGATTCCTAAAGTTGAGAATGGGAGTGCTTGTCATTGTCATTCCTAATCAGAGAGCCTCAGGTCTAGAAACTGCTGTGCCAGTTTCCCACAGCGGTACATCTGCATAAATGTCCATGCCCTTGACACTGACGTCCTGAACGGGCCAGGCTCATCCATCGAAAATTCGCACTTAGTTGCCCAGTGTGTTGCGCAAAGCGAGTGCCCTATCACAACAATGGATTTATTTGAGCTGACATTCACCACTTCCCAGTTGTGGCGCCACAAACATGAGCTTACATGCCACAATTTGACTTATTGGTGGTCAAGCAGAACAAACTAAGGAGTATCACGTCCAGGCCAACATCATGAACTATTTTCCAACCACCCACAATTGCCCTCAACGATCAAGGCAATGATAACTTGCCCAAGTGAAGCAAAAGGCCGTGGACACACTGTCCCATGCATGCCCCACAAAGTCACACTGCATTGTGTTTGAGCATTTTACACAGACAGTTAATCTATAGTATGAAGGCTGAGATTCTTTTGTAGGTGATCAGTTGCATCTTGGCGTACTCCATGCTCCATCGGACCTGTCTTATGCACACTAACTTGAAGCTTGTGTAATATGTGAATCTGACCAGATTCAGTAACATCCTATGAGAGGCAAACCTTGAGCTGAGCTGTCTCTTTTTGTTGAGGATGCAGTTTCATTCACACAGCCAGTGGCAACCAGTGACCATCATGGATTGGGGGAAACAGGGATGAAGCGCAAGAACAAATACGCAGCCCACTGAAAGCACTTCCTTAAACTGGGCTGCAATGCTGCAACTCCTGCTGACCAGTCAACAGTCTGTATCCTGCTGCGGCCCTCTGGGTTCCTACTCACAGCATTGTGGCTCCATTCTTTATCTTCCTCCAGTTCTTGTGAGAGTCCAGAATGGCCATCAGCGCTTTGCGCCGCTCTCTTGGGCTGAAGCCCTTCAGGAGTGCAACTGTGCGCTCTGCAAGCCTGCAGTCTGCCCTTCCAAAATAGTGCCTTGCACCCATTTGCTCTATAAACTTAGATGACAACCCAGCCCTGTCAAAGACCACACAACCTGCCTTATGGCCAAAACTACCGGCAATGGAATGTTCCGTCAATTCCTTGCATTGATTCCAACAGCCCGTTGGTGCAACCACAGTATTTAGTCAAATTCTGACATTGGCTGCTCCAATTTCGTCGATGCCAGTTCAGCAGAATGTGCCAAATTGTTGTCGCCAAAGAAAGGACTGCTAAGTTCAGGCCAACACAGTAAATAAAAAACTGAGAGCTGTTGAAAAGAACAGCAGCAGTTGTGGTACAGTGTTGCACTGTGCAGGAAGTGGAATTTTGAACACTGGACTTAACATAGCACTGCAGAAATTTCGGCTCAAAGCTTTTATTTAATCAAATGGGCAGCGATTGTGGATCAGAGTGTAGGGTGCACAAACTATGGAGCAAAATAGGATCAAAATGCAGGTTTCGGCAAAGAACTAATGGCACTTAGTGGCCATCTTGCCAACACCATGCCTACATGCCAAAGCACTTGGTCAGACTTTCTTGTGCATGCTTATGAGGGCAGATGGTTCATTGAGCCATGCCACAGGGGTGTTGGTACGGAGGCTGGCCACAGCATGCATACAGTCCAATAATTACGTTGCTGAGTTAACAATCTTCTTCATTCGTCATTTGGACAACTGACTGTTTCACTCATTCTATGTTTAATCAACTTCCAGTCGATCAGAAACGATGTCGCACCCCTCGATCTGACCACTGTTGTCCAGAGAAATTCGAACCTCACAGTGAGCAAAATCGATGTCCAGTGTGGCCCTGGCTACGGCTACCATGCCCCCAGATACAAGGCCCAAATACCGGGAATCCTGAACAACAGGTGAACAATTACATTCAGCTGGACTGCAGATGGTTGGTTCCATGTTTATCGCTTGGCAAGATCCACAGCTGGGCACAG